AAAATGGGTGAAAATGCAAATCCCGTTTCAAGCTGGCAAATCTATATTATATTTGTAACTTATATATAATATATATAATATATAGATCGGTATAAATCTATAGATATCTATAGATTATATATATATATACACACTGATCAATGTGCTTAGCCTTCAGGGTTGTTGGGCCTAAAGCATTCAAACAGTGATGACAAAATTCATTTTTTTTCCCCTGACCAACCCCTTCGCGCAGGTCCTCCTCCCGTGGGCAAGTTCAAGGGCATCAAGCGCCATGGTCCTGCTGGGAAAGCATTGGCTGCCGCTGTGGCCGGTGGTGTTCCGGGGTTTGGTTCTGTAAAATTTTGGGGTTATATAATGGTTTATAAATGGGAATATTTTTTGTGTAATTACCACACTTGTTGACTTTAACCTGATTTTTTTGGTGGCCATCTAGGTATCAGAAACAGAAGCCTGCTCCATTGCACGAGCTTTTTGGGAGGAGTTTTCACCGCACCTACAGAACCCTGAAAAGATTGCGAGTGCAAACCTCGTACAACTCGCTGCTAGGCTTTCCACAACTGGGCATCAAAATCGGTTTGCCAACAGTTTGTCGGACTATGGCTTATCAGCCCAAATACCTTTGACCTATGTGGATGTCGGCTTGAATGAAAACCATCCTACTCTCTCCATTCGGGATACTGTTTCATGCTATGATGTGTCGGGCAAGTTGGATATCCTATTGCAAGGGAATGGACAGGCTCAATTTCGAAGCTTCTGGTCACAGTGGAAGCAGTTGCATCCACGCCATCCAGTTTTTGATACCCATCGGGGCCGTGAAGGACAATGTGTTCCTATAGCTATTCACTGCGATGAGGGGTGTACATTAAAAAAAAATCTATACTGATTGTCCAGTACCATTCTCTCATGGGGAAAGGTACGAGAAAGAGGAAAAGCACGGAAGAAGAGCCTGGCATCAACATGATTGGCAACTCATATACTACAAGGGTTCTATGGAGCGTGATGCTGGGTCGGGCCTATGGTGGGAAAAGAAAGAACCGTCCATTGCTCAAACTGATTTCCTACTTGTCAAATGAGTTGACAAAAGCGTTCTACGAAGGCATCCCCTTACACCATCACAAGTTGGGAACAATTTATTTGATCCCGCTATGCATGAAGGGAGATTGGCCGGCTTTGACCAAACTTGGCGGCCTAACCCGCCACTTTGGGTGCTTGGTGACTTCAGGGGAGAATGGAAAAGGAATCTGCCATATGTGCAATGCAGATCGCCCAGGATTCCAAAATTGGCATGATCTCTCATATGAAAACATGGAAAAGATGCATGAGGATCCACCCCTGCCATGGAGGGTCGAGCCTTCATTGGTGTCTGCCATACCGTTGCATGATTTGGACAAACCTTACTTCTTCAGAGTCGATGCTTTTCATGCCCTTCACAAGGGTTTCATGGGAGACATTGCAGCAAATGCACTGGTTTCTCGAATGGTTTAGCATGATTTAGCAGAATTTTGCTGTTCATAATGTTATCGGTTTGGACATAGTATAGGAACATTTCTTCTGGTTGAAATCGAAACCTCCACAGGTTTGCTGCTATGATCATGAGTTTTTCGGGGACCTGTCTTTCGAAGACTTCTGTGCTACCTGTTTTTCGGAGTTGAAGGAGTTCTGCGCCAAAGAGTCCAAAACATTGCATATGACCCAGTTGTCCCGACCCCTACTGGGATTTGGCAGGTCCAGTGACTACCCAACAGCGATACTTTTCTGGAATTCAAATATCAACTGTTTTTTGTTATGTTTGCGGGCTTTGGTATTCTTATACAAGGATTACCCACCCATGGTTTCAAAATGTTTCAAAACTCATGTGCCGAGGGGATGGTTCAAGGGGGCTGACACGGTGTGCATCTTGGAGTTCCTGGAGTCACGGATTGGTGGCGATCTGATCGCTATGAGTGAATCTCGCAAGCCCATTTTCCTTGAGATCCATGCTACAATTAGTGCAGCCAATGCATTCATGAGGTGCATGTACAGAGCTGGGCTGTGGCTTTCTCATGAGGAAAGGGATTTCCTGCTGAAGGCTGGAACTAGATGTGTGAATTCTTTCCTCCGATGTGCCCTAAGGGCATTCAATGCTAGTGCCACGCGATGGAAATTCATGCCGAAATTTCATCTTTTTGGCGAATGGTTATTCACCATGGAGAAACAGAAACGCCTTGGGCTACCAAGCCCCAATTTACTGATGTTTTCCTGCCAAATGGACGAGGATTACGTCGGGCGAATTGGTTCTATCTCCCGGACCGTTTCCTTGAGGACTGTACATACACGTACCCTCACCCGCTACCTGATTGCCTTGGTGGCGAATTGGGGGTGAATATGCTATCTAATCTAATCTATTTGTATACCTTCAGGATCCTTGAGGTACTCATGTGTACAAGTGCCCACTATGATGCTCAATGGCCGGCCCCCACTGATCAGATCGGTCCTGCGTCAGTTTCTGCATCTTTGGAGCCGCAGCAGGTTGAAGTAAACAGAACTATCATGTATCTGTTTAACATTATTATTATTTAACTGTTTTTTACACGTTTTATCGATATCTGATTTGTGTGTGATTGTGCACCCATATACATTCAACTGCTGTGGTAGGAAGATATGCTACATCTTTATGCATTTTTGTGATGTGAAGTGCATACCTATGTGCTTGGGCCATGGCGGGAAAAGGCTTGGGAACTCAGTGCACTATTTTACCCCCAAAAACAGCACACAGTGGCGTAGTTGGCACTTTTTATAGTACACCTGGTTTTCTAGGTATTTTGAATTTTTTGAAATTCAAAAAATTCAAAATATTCAAAAAATAATGAAATCACCAAAAAAGAGGTTCAGAGAGACTTTTGGGAGAAGTTCGGAGGTGTGGTTCCCTTTCGGAGAATTTTATTACTTTTTTGAAGACCCCCAAAATCATCAATACCAAACAATATATCCACCCAAAAAAGCCACCAATATTCGACTATGTGGCAAAATCGGGAAACAAACTGGAGACAATGAAAGTCCTGTGTCCCAAAAGCTCCCAGAGAGAACAACGGTAATGAGGAGAGAAGTGAAGAAGGCACTGGGAAAGACTAGAGGAACAAGCAAGGAAAGAAAGGGAAGAGTAGAAAAGTCGCACATGCTGGAGACCTGGAAAGAAGCACGGTAGTGGAGAGAGGATATATAAGGAGACCACTTGGAGACAAGTAGGAAGGCAAGTAGGGAAACATGTAGTAGAGACCGAGGGTAAGGGAATGTAGCGGATAATAGGTTTCGTCCCAAAGCACGCAGAGACAAGCAGCAATTAATAGACAAGTAAAAAGGCCTGAGCAAAGGAAGAAAAGTAGAGAGAAACACAGGAGGCCAGAAAGGAGCCTGAGAGAAGAATGGCAATGGGAAGGGAATTAAGGATACAACTTGGAGAGAACAAGGGAGACAAGTACGGAAACAGATGGGAGACGAAGAGAATCATGTGTCCAAATAAGCACCTACTCGTAGAGAGAAGAACAGCAAGAGAGAGAGAGAGAGAGGGAGAGAGAAGTAAGGGCATGAGTTGGAGAGAACAAGGGGGACAAGCACGGAGACAGACAGAGGACAAGGAGCATACTGTGCCCCGGAAGCACCCAGAGAGAACAGCCACATGTGAGAGTGAAGTAGAGAGACGAGTACGAAAACAGATGGGACTTGAGTCCTGTCCCAAAGCCACCAGAACGAAGAACACTGAGCAATGGAGAGAGAAGTGAGGAACGGGAGACAAGGAGATTCCTTTGACCGAAAGCACCCAGAGAGAAGAATCGCAATGGGGATAGAGAAGTAAGGAGACAAGTTGGGAACAGACAAGGAGACAAGTATGGAAACAAATGGGAGGCAAGAAGAATCCTTTGCCATCGAGCACCACGAAGAGTATCCTGTGCCCAGAAGCACCCAGGAAGAAGAACAGTAACAGGGAGGGACAAAAAGAAATGAAGAGGTCCTAAAGCCTAGACAAAACAGCAAGTAGGAAAAAATTGGCTAAATAAGGACACAGATGGGAACACATGGGAGACAAGGGAAATCTTGGGTCCCAAAAGCGAGAACAACAGGAATGAGGAGAGAAGTGAAGAAAGCGCTGGGAAAGACTACAGGGACAAGGAAGGAAAGAAAGGAAAGAGGAGAAAAACTATCCTCTCCCTCCCAAATGCCGGAGACCTGGAAAGAAGCACGGTAGTGGAGAGAGGATAAGGAGACAAGTTGGAGACAAGTAGGAAGGTAAGTAGGGTAACACGTGGTAGAGACTGAGGGTAAGGGAATGTGACCTGAACAAAGGAAAAAAGGCAGGGAGAAACACAAGAGGCCAGGAAATCCATTCTTCCCCCAGCAGCAGCAATGGGGAGGGGATTAAGGATACACGTTGGAGGGAACAAGGGAGGACAAGGGAGGACAAGTGAGGAACCGGAGAGAATCATGTAAATAAGCACCTAGAGAGAAGAACAAGAGAGAGAGAGAGGGGGAGCAGTAAGGGCACGAGTTGGCGAGAACAAGGGGGACAAGCACGGAGACAGACAGAGGACAAGGAGCATACTGTGCCCCTGAAGCACCCAGAGAGAACAGCCACATGTGAGAGTGAAGTAGAGAGACGAGTACGAAAACAGATGGGACTTGAGTCCTATCCCGAAAGCCACCAGAACGAAGAACACTGAGCAATGGATAGAGAAGCGAGGAACGGGAGACAAGGAGATTCCTTTGACCGAAAGCGCCCAGAGAGAAGAATCGCAATGGAGATAGAGAAATAAGGAGACAAGTTGGGAACAGACAAGGAGACAAGTATGGAAACAAATGGGAGGCAAGAAGAATCCTTCGCCATCGAGCAACCACGAAGAGTCACGAAGAGTATCCTGTGCCCAGAAGCACCCAGGAAGAAGAACAGTAACAGGGAGGGACAAAAAGAAATGAAGAGAGGAGACTGCAATTATGGCCCCAAAGCACCTGAAAGTCCTAAAGCCTAGACCACACAGTAAGTAGGAAAAAACTGGCTGAATAAGGACACAGATGGGAACACATGGGAGACAAGGGGAATCTTGGGTCCCAAAAGCGAGAACAACAGGAATGAGGAGAGAAGTGAAGAAAGCGCTGGGAAAGACTACAGGGACAAGGAAGGAAAGAAAGGAAAGAGGAGAAAAACTATCCTCTCCGTCCCAAATGCCGGAGACCTGGAAAGAAGCGCGGTAGTGGAGAGAGAATAAGGAGACAAGTTGGAGACAAGTAGGAAGGTAAGTAGGGTAACATGTGGTAGAGACCGAGGGTAAGGGAATGTGACCTGAACAAAGGAAGAAAAGTTAAGGAGAAACACAAGAGGCCAGGAAATCCATTCTTCCCCCAGCAGCAGCCAGCAATGAGGTCCGGAGGGAAATCAAGGAGGGATACACGTTGGAGGGAAAAAGGGAGGACAAGGGAGGACAAGTTAGGAAAACCAGAAGCGAGAGGGAGGATTATGTGCAATTGAGCACCTAGACCCCCGAGAACGCCCACACCCCCAAGCCCCACGGAAAGAATGTGTGCTGCAAGAGAGAGAGAGAGAGAAGTAAGGGCATGAGTTGGAGAGAACAAGGGGGACAAGCACGGAGACAGACAGAGGACAAGGAGCATACTGTGCCCCGGAAGCACCCAGAGAGAACAGCCACATGTGAGAGTGAAGTAGAGAGACGAGTACGAAAACAGATGGGACTTGAGTTCTGTCCCCAAAGCCACAAGAACGAAGAACACTGAGCAATGGAGAGAGAAGTGAGGAACGGGAGACAAGGAGATTCCTTTGACCGAAAGCACCCAGAGAGAAGAATCGCAATGGAGATAGAGAAGTAAGGAGACAAGTTGGGAACAGACAAGGAGACAAGTATGGAAACAAATGGGAGGCAAGAAGAATCCTTTGCCATCGAGCACCACGAAGAGTATCCTGTGCCCAGAAGCACCCAGGAAGAAGAACAGTAACAGGGAGGGACAAAAAGAAATGAAGAGGTCCTAAAGCCTAGACAAAACAGCAAGTAGGAAAAAATTGGCTGAAGAAGGACACAGATGGGAACACATGGGAGACAAGGGGAATCTTGGGTCCCAAAAGCGAGAACAACAGGAATGAGGAAAGAAGTGAAGAAAGCGCTGGGAAAGACCACAGGGACAAGGAAGGAAAGAAAGGAAAGAGGAGAAAAACTATCCTCTCCCTCCCAAATGCTGGAGACCTGGAAAGAAGCACGGTAGTGGAGAGAGAATACGGAGACAAGTTGGAGACACGTAGGAAGGTAAGTAGGGTAACATGTGGTAGAGACCGAGGGTAAGGGAATGTGACCTGAACAAAGGAAGAAAAGTTAAGGAGAAACACAAGAGGCCAGGAAATCCGTTCTTTCCCAAGCAGCCGCAGCAATGAGGAGGGAATTAAGGATACACGTTGGAGGGAACAAGGGAGGACAAGGGAGGACAAGTTAGGAACCAGAGAGAATCATGTGTCCAAATAAGCACCTAGAGAGAAGAACAGCAAGAGAGAGAGAGAGAAGAGAGAGAGAGAGAGAAGTAAGGGCACGAGTTGGAGAGAACAAGGGGGACAAGCACGGAGACAGACAGAGGACAAGGAGCATACTGTGCCCCGGAAGCACCCAGAGAGAACAGCCACATGTGAGAGTGAAGTAGAGAGACGAGTACGAAAACAGATGGGACTTGAGTCCTGTCCCCAAAGCCACCAGAACGAAGAACACTGAGCAATGGAGAGAGAAGTGAGGAACGGGAGACAAGGAGATTCCTTTGACCGAAAGCACCCAGAGAGAAGAATCGCAATGAAGATAGAGAAATAAGGAGACAAGTTGGGAACAGACAAGGAGACAAGTATGGAAACAAATGGGAGGCAAGAAGAATCCTTTGCCATCGAGCACCACGAAGAGTATCCTGTGCCCAGAAGCACCCAGGAAGAAGAACAGTAACAGTGAGGGACAAAAAGAAATGAAGAGAGGAGACTGCAAGAAGGCGGTGACGGAAGGGACACGAATGAGGGACTCGGTAATGTTTATGGCCCCCAAAACCACCTGAAGGTCCTAAAGCCTAGACCACACAGCAAGTAGGAAAAAATTGGCTGAATAAGGACACAGATGGGAACACATGGGAGACAAGGGGAATCTTGGGTCCCAAAAGCGAGAACAACAGGAATGAGGAGAGAAGTGAAGAAAGCGCTGGGAAAGACCACAGGGACAAGGAAGGAAAGAAAGGAAAGAGGAGAAAAACTATCCTCTCCCTCCCAAATGCCGGAGACCTGGAAAGAAGCACGGTAGTGGAGAGAGAATACGGAGACAAGTTGGAGACAAGTAGGAAGGTAAGTAGGGTAACATGTGGTAGAGACCGAGGGTAAGGGAATGTGACCTGAACAAAGGAAGAAAAGTTAAGGAGAGACACAAGAGGCCAGGAAATCCGTTCTTTCCCAAGCAGCCGCAGCAATGAGGAGGGAATTAAGGATACACGTTGGAGGGAACAAGGGAGGACAAGGGAGGACAAGTGAGGAACCAGAGAGAATCATGTGTCCAAATAAGCACCTAGAGAGAAGAACAGCAGAGAGAGAGAGAGAGAGAAGAGAGAGAGAGAGAGAGAAGTAAGGGCACGAGTTGGAGAGAACAAGGGGGACAAGCACGGAGACAGACAGAGGACAAGGAGCATACTGTGCCCCGGAAGCACCCAGAGAGAACAGCCACATGTGAGAGTGAAGTAGAGAGACGAGTACGAAAACAGATGGGACTTGAGTCCTGTCCCCAAAGCCACCAGAACGAAGAACACTGAGCAATGGAGAGAGAAGTGAGGAACGGGAGACAAGGAGATTCCTTTGACCGAAAGCACCCAGAGAGAAGAATCGCAATGGAGATAGAGAAGTAAGGAGACAAGTTGGGAACAGACAAGGAGACAAGTATGGAAACAAATGGGAGGCAAGAAGAATCCTTTGCCATCGAGCACCACGAAGAGTATCCTGTGCCCAGAAGCACCCAGGAAGAAGAACAGTAACAGGGAGGGACAAAAAGAAATGAAGAGGTCCTAAAGCCTAGACAAAACAGCAAGTAGGAAAAAATTGGCTAAATAAGGACACAGATGGGAACACATGGGAGACAAGGGGAATCTTGGGTCCCAAAAGCGAGAACAACAGGAATGAGGAGAGAAGTGAAGAAAGCGCTGGGAAAGACTACAGGGACAAGGAAGGAAAGAAAGGAAAGAGGAGAAAAACTATCCTCTCCGTCCCAAATGCCGGAGACCTGGAAAGAAGCACGGTAGTGGAGAGAGGATAAGGAGACAAGTTGGAGACAAGTAGGAAGGTAAGTAGGGTAACACGTGGTAGAGACTGAGGGTAAGGGAATGTGACCTGAACAAAGGAAAAAAGGCAGGGAGAAACACAAGAGGCCAGGAAATCCATTCTTCCCCCAGCAGCAGCAATGGGGAGGGGATTAAGGATACACGTTGGAGGGAACAAGAAAGGGCAAGTGAGGAACCGGAGAGAATCATGTGTCCAAATAAGCACCTAGAGAGAAGAACAGCAAGAGAGAGAGAGAGAAGTAAGGGCATGAGTTGGAGAGAACAAGGGGGACAAGCACGGAGACAGACAGAGGACAAGGAGCATACTGTGCCCCGGAAGCACCCAGAGAGAACAGCCACATATGAGAGTGAAGTAGAGACACGAGTACGAAAACAGATGGGACTTGAGTCCTGTCCCCAAACCACCAGAACGAAGAACACTGAGCAATGGAGAGAGAAGTGAGGAACGGGAGACAAGGAGATTCCTTTGACCGAAAGCACCCAGAGAGAAGAATCGCAATGGAGATAGAGAAATAAGGAGACAAGTTGGGAACAGACAAGGAGACAAGTATGGAAACAAATGGGATCAGAAAGGAGGACGGTCGCATTATACCAAAAGGTCCCTGCCACATATATATATATATATATGTATATATATATAATACGTATATTAATATATTGTATGATAACCAGGATGTATAATCCATAACATACCTCCTATGCTGCAAGGATTCATCCATTCGATGTCTGTATGATTCATGCACGACTCTTGTGAGTTTGCCGTGATTCACATGGCCGACTCAATGTTCTTCAGCAAACCCCACGACAACTGCAAGTCTGTAAGATGTCCTGGGCTCTTTAGCCAATGCACAGGGACGGGACTTGGGTCAACAGAATAGCTGTGAATAGGTCACATATGCAGTATCCACATCACAAAGCTGCTCTCTTGCATTATATAATTATATATAATTATATACTTAAGATGACTTAAGCATTACTTAAAGGAAGACACCGGTTGGAGTTCTAGGTGCTGGAAATCAAGACTGGCAGCTGCACATCTCCCGCCTCCGATCTCTTTTTCATGGGCTCCAGGGGCACTCCTGGGATGCACTCCTGAGGTCTCAGTTGTCTCAGTTGCAAATGGGATGGAGAGACTCATCCCAACATATCCCAACCCAGTGGCCTGATGGATGACACCCTACTGGCAAGGTCACCTGCCGCAGGCTTTCCACATCGATACAAGGATGAGGGGCAATGACAAATCTCAGAACAAATTCGACAATGCGTCTTTTCTTGAAACTGTTCAGGATCCTTGATTCTTGGAGCATTTGGCATCATCGATGAAATTGCGGTGACACGTCATACATCCAACACACCACAGCCCTGGCCCCGACTGTTTATTTTCAAACACCAAGGCTCTCGGAAGATTAGGAGCGATGCTTAAAATGCTGTAGACTTTGGAGAAAAAAAAGCAGGAAACAGAAGAAAGAAGAGAAACAATTTTATCAAACACATCACTCTGGGAACCAGAGCTGTTCTTCACCATTTCCCAGTCAACCCCAAGCACCAGTCAAAATCAAAGACTAAAGCCATGGTTACAATATGTTACAATCAAAGGGCACAGGCAGCAGTTTGTGCAGTTTGTGCCTGTCTCATCAACAGCACCAGCCTGCCTCTGTCTCTGAGCTGATCTTCACTGTTCGAGTTGGTCTCTGCAAATCTTGAGTTGGTCTCTGCAGATCTTCAGGTCTCTGCAGATCTTCAGGTCTCTGCAGATCTTTTATCCTGCCAAGGAAATTGGAGTACATCCCTGCCATGAAACACATTGAAACACATTGAAACACCATAACATGGGCCATGGGTTGGTGGATGTTGGTATCTCAATTTATCTCATGTCATCTCCAGCCTGGAGAAGTGTGCGTTCGGCGCCGAAGCCTCAGAACGGAAGTCCAGGCCACGGTCCGCGCGACGCAGCTCCTCGAAGCGCACCTGACGAACGGCCCAAGAATGGCCATTGGATGCCATTGGGCCATTCATGGCCATTACTTTGCAACTCATGATATGCCATGATTAATTATCCATTATTCATGGCCATTGGGCTTTGACTTCAGCCATGTCACAACATGTTAGCATATGATATGTCAACATAGCCTGTTAGCCATGCTTCAGTGCTAATTCTTTGCTGGGCCACACAAGAAATGCTTCAACGTGATGGCGCCTCTAAGTCCTCACGAGCCACCATTCCCTTGGACCTACAGTAGCGGCGGTAGTGCTTGTGAAGCTGCTTCATTTGGTCATAGAGGTCAACCTTGGCTGAGGACCAGTGGAAGCATGACGATCCATTTGAATCAGACATCATTCTACTCAACCAAGCATCTCATCTTACCAAAAGAAACATGCATTGGACACAATCAAGTCTCGTTTGTGACAAACCTCATTATGTCATTGATACTGTTGTATACATATGAATTTGGGAAATATTCCGTCAATATATTCATTAGTCTTGCTTCCTACACCGCGAATGGCTCTCCTCAATTAAACTTTAGCCAATTTGGAAGCTGTTGGACTACACCTGACTGAGCGGTACTCTAGCCAGCTATTTCAGAGCGCCCTGCTTGGAAAGGCGCTTCACATCCGAATCAACAGACATTCAATCCACTAGAGGATGCCAAAAAACTATTTCCTGTATCTTGTCGAACCTTCGCACAAAGAAAACCCTATGCATGCAAGGTCTACATCATGTCGCCATGTTCGTCAGATCCTTCAGCCAAGATACAAAGGCAGCACAGTATGTGCTGAACGCCTCATCTGCCGCTGATCCATTTACCGTCTGAGTTGATCATATAAATTCATATAATCATTCAGTCTAAGATAGGCCTACTTGGCACTATCCATCGCTGAGCATCTTAGAATCGAGCGAGAGAGAGATAGAGAGAGTGGAGAAACAGTACAGAGACCACATGCTGTGAGCGATTTTCTTGGTGTGCTCCATTATGCCCAGTGGGCAAAACCAGTACACCTGGTAAAAAGATGTAAAAAGGGTACTTCATGGTACTTCTATTCTAAACTTTCTAAACTTTCTAAACCATACTCTGTCAATTAAGCAACATCCAAGGATGTGCTGTCGCCCAGATGCCCAGCAAGACAGGTGTAGCTGCAGGGGCGCGTCCATCTCAACCTAGCCAAGAAGGATCATGCTGTTTCTTCCGCACCGTGGTAACCGTATGTAACCGTGGTAATATCTTGAATTCATGGGTTGCAAACAGCCATGGGTGACGCATGGTGACGCATTCAAAACATTGAAGCCTCATATGATATTGTATGGTCAATTACCACCCATAAGGAAGCTGGGTCATGATCCGTATTTTTCAAAAATTACAACTCAACTGCGGCGATTGATCTCAAGTACAGTATGTGAAACAAGACTTAGGGGAGATTTGATGATGATCTCTATCCCACTATTGTTGGGTTCTATTTGTAGTCAACAACCCTCAGATTTGAGAATGAATGATAGAAAACTTTGAACAAAAAATAGTACAAGAATTGTTTAGACATCTACTTATATAGTTTCTTATAACCGTGTCACAACCTCAAATGGGTTGTTTGAAAATAGGGTGCCTCAAAATGTGATGGTTTATCATCAGTTTCCGCCGGGCATGTGGAAGGTATGTTTCAGACATACCCAAAAAAAAAGATTTTAATTAGTTGTATTCCCAAAAAAACATAGTTGGTTAGTTCTATCCCCAACATGTATATATATATATATGTACGTACGTAATCGTACGTACGTACGTACGCACGTACGTACGTACGTACGATGTATGTATACGTATATATCATTTATTTATATATATATATATATGTATTCCCATTACATCCCTTAATATCCCATTTAATTCCAATTCAATCCTCAATCCCCAATAAAATGATAAAAACTAGTTGAAATTGATAATTCCAAATGGTTGAATATCATCCATGTTTGCTGGTAAATCCCCATGGAGCACAGCCTGTTTGTCAACCGGCTGCCTGTTCGCGTCCTTCCAGGAAGCCACTGCCGCGGCCACGTAGCCGCACCTGAAACACTTTTGGAATACTAGTGTACTTATAAACTCTATAACTATTGTGACTTAGTGTATAGATGCATGTGTACACATGAATACATGTGGTGTTTATCTTTGATAGTGTTGGACTGGCCTAAAATGTGTTTCAAATTGTTTCAAGAAGAAAACCCAGCATACGTCGCAAGGAGACATTTGTGGTGCCTTTGCCTGCACATATCCTGTAAAATAAGAAACCAAAAGGAATCACTTGAAATGATGCTCAATGAAGCTTTGACCATGACTTTGACTGCGGCCATTAGTGGATAATTGCAACCGCCAACACGTCTAACTGCTAACTCTGCTCTTTAGTGGATACGGTACCTGTAGTACAAGCGGCTACCTGTATGACATCAGGGTGGCCAGTCATCTCACCATTGCCTACCTTCGCATCCGAGTTCGCTACGACCTTCTTCATGTTGTAACCACCTGCCCGGACCAATTTAGGATGAGAAACTTGGAAAATCTTTTGACAGTCTGCTTACCCACAGTTGTCCACCAATCACCAATACTTCGACCACAGGGTCACAGGTCTGAGTCTTCTGTCTGGTGTCAAACTTCCCAGGCCTTTACCCAGTATCCGCTTCACCAAGCAAAACTCCTCGTCGTCTTCCAGGCCAACATGAATCACCTTTGGGTCGCTGGCTTCGTACTATGTGCCTCTAAGCTGGGAAATAAGGTTCCAAAATCTCGATGGAACGACTCGAGAGATGATTATATCTGTACAACATGTTGAATCCATGGTTTCATGATGTTTCGTGATGTTCGCGGTGTTTGATGTTGCTCCTGTGGTGGTTCTTTGAGGGCGCATTGAGAAAATGGTCTGGTTTCTGAGATTCTGGGTAGACGTCGATCATAGACACTTTGTAAATTGCACATCCCAATGTTCCAAAACACTGAGTTGTGGAAGAAACATTGTGTTTTGGAGGCATAAGAGCTAGAAATAGTGATATCCATGGGGTTCCTACACAAGTCAGTCAGAATTGTTTCAACGTTTCAACATGTTTCAACATGTTTCAACATGTTTCAATATGTTTCAACATGCTTGGCGTCTCACAAAACAAAAAAGACACCACCTGTTTTCCTGCAGATCACCAAGCAATTCCACACACACACACACCTGTGGAAATTCTTCCACCATCCAAGACACGCAAATGAAGTTTTCCGACGCTCCATCGAGGTCTGATGCCCTGCATTGCAATGTTCAGCAAGGATTGGAGGTGACTTGCGGGCACCTCTGCATATCTCTCTAAGTGCTCAAGACATTGGATTTGGCCATACTTGGCCCATCGACTCTACGCGAACGTAACTACCTTGTTTCAGTCGGGCATGAAACTGCCATGCCTGCAAGGCAAGAATGGTAAGAGCCCCCTTGCCACCGCTTTGACTTCCGATGGAAGATCCTCACATGACAGTGCGTGAAATGGTGGCTGAAAGTGTTGCTGCCAAAGGTAGATTTCTCAATATAGTGAACGGTGTTGGTTCGTCATCCTTACCATTTCACGAATACCCCCATGGGCGAGTGAGGAAGAAAGAGAGTCTGTTTCTACAGCGTAGAATCTTGATGGTACTGAAACTGATTCTCAAGTCGTCAGACGAATCCAACCAACAACTGAACAAGCTGAACAAGCAAAACAAAGCCGCATACTGCCAAGGATCAACGCCCCCTGCTTGTGGTGTTCTCCAGGCCCTCTCCTGGTGTTCAGTCTCTGCAATTCTGCCACCACAGAGTATGAATTCAAAGGTTTCACGGCAGGCCTCATAGGCTCACCATCCTTTTGGATGATTGGATGATACAAAAGAATACAAAAGACGGGTGCAAAGGCAAAGCACCAGCACATCCTCAGACTCAAAGATCCTTTTCCCCTTCAACGCAAACAAAGGCGACATATGCAAAATTCATGAGCACATTGATTTTTATCATTGCTTCTTCTGCAGTTGCGGGAGTTGTCCTTCTCCGAGGAATTCCATTCGTCGAAGTCATCGTCCTCCAACGTCAAATAGGAAAACCATTGAAGAAGTTTCTCTTCGAGGCCGCGTTTCAGCCTAAGCGGAGCTGTCCCTGGGATGGTGCACAGGTACAACACGGTACAACATTCCCGGCGACCTAACCCTGGTCAGGCAGCTTCTTGCCCCGAAACCAGCAGAATTCTTGCGACAGATTTGCAAACCGAACCAAGCAACATCACTCCAACAGATTCAACAGAGATCAGAATATGATTGCAGAATGTATCAGAATGTCACTGGGCTGACTTCATTCTCGAGTGATCAACAGGCCACCTATAATTAATACATATTACTACATATTATATGATACATATTAAATCATATTAATATATATTAATACACTGATTGTCATTGCATCAATTGGCTTTAGCAATTTTAGCATGCTTTAGCACATAGCACCCATCTGGGATGCCGTGCCAGAATGGGTCAAAGTCACGAGAAACAAGGCTGTTCTCGTAGAAAACTCCCTGGTAAAGGGAAGCGACATTCAGGGCCGGATCAGGAGTTTGTCCCTTCACGAGAGTGCAAATAAGGTGATGTTGATATATATATATATAAATATTGATCTAGAAAATAAAGGACATGTGAAACAACATGTCGATATCATCTAAAGAAATGTGCTGGTGCAGTTTGGGAGTTACCATTATGAAACCAAACACCAGCCCCTTGTTCGATCGCAACATCTTAGAATCCGTCGCATTTCAGCACCGTGTGCCTGTCCCATTTGTGCCACACAGTCGGCCTGCATCTCTTTCAGCAAGTCCATGGCTGTGAAGCAAGGCCGTTGAGGAAGCGAAGGATTGGCCGCACCTGCACAGCTCCGGTCATGTCATCCCAACGGCCCTTGGGCCCTTGAGGTACTGAACATGGTCCCACAGTCTGAGCGATGATTTACATTGCTTTGGACATTGCTTTGGTGTGGCATTTTGGGGATGGCTGGGCTCCTTCTTTGGGCTCTTTGGGCTCGTGTTGAGCCTTCAGGTTCTTCACCTCGGAGTTCTTCATCATTGCTGGCTCTGACCTTGGAAGACTGTGATTGGTCTGAGGGACTGGGACTGTGCCAATTTGTAGGGCATTGCAGGGATGGCTTCTGCTGCACTAGTGTTTACTAGTGGTAATGTTCTGAGTTAAGTCAATCTTGCAGGAAATGCCAAACTTCAAGGACCCTGTGCAGTGAAATTCCTTTCCAACGTGTTTTAAAAGATAAATAGGCAGTAATAAACATGATATATCGTGATGCATATACATGTTTGACCATCGCTCTGCCTCCTTTTGTCCCTGTTCCCAGCCTTTGCTAAGGTGCTCTGGCTTGTCTGCACTAGCCACGGGGCCAAAAAGATCCAAGCGTAATCTCACAAAAAAGGATGCAGCATCAAAAGCGCTACAATCAAAAGAGAATGGATCAGGCCCTTTCCGGGTGGCATGGGGGCGGGCCCAGAAAGCTCTAGGCGCCACTCAGGTAAAACATGAGATCATGTTTGACCATCGCTCTGCCTCCTTTTGTCCCTGTTCCCAGCCTTTGCTAAGGTGCTCTGGCTTGTCTGCACTAGCCACGGGGCCAAAAAGATCCAAGCGTAATCTCACAAAAAAGGATGCAGCATCAAAAGCGCTACAATCAAAAGAGAATGGATCAGGCCCTTTCCACCTTTGCGTGCGTGCCGGCAACGGGTGGCGTAAGCGCTCGTTCGAGCAACACCGTGGCCAAGGAAAAACTCCCGTGGGATTTCAAGAAATCGACAGACTGGCATCGAAAAGTGAACTGGCTGCAAAAACGGCGTTGCGACTCTGTACAGAGAGTTGCATGGTGACAGCTTCAGCACCCACCTCTTGTAAATAGTGCTGAAGGGTTTCTAAATTCTTCAACCTCATTCTCCAAAGCAAACGGTTGATGTCTTCATTTTCACGGTAACATCTAACCGCTCCGCCTCCCCTCATAGATGCAGGGGTTAACCCTAGGTTATATGGCACACTAAGTTTCTGCAGCAACAAGTCCCATCTTCGACGGAACGTGACTGGAGAACCTGGGTAAACTCTCTGCTTCAAAGGTAGCTGTTTCAGAACTCGCTCCAGAAACTTGACTGCTAAAGGATGCGAAATCGTGGCATGCTGAACTAAACCGAGGCCTCGGAGTCTGGACTTCGGCTTCTTGATCCGCAAGTACGCTCGATCCATCTGTTCAGACAACAAATCCGAAGGCAGCAGTACATCTTCTCGCAAAGCACCTAAAGCTTCACCTGGCCTGCAAATTCCCTCAAAACTCAGAATCATGACGCAAGCAAAACGAAACCACTGCAAGTTTATTGCAAAAGCTACCATAGCCTTATAAATAGCCCAAGGAAGAGGTGTGCGATGGCAAACAGGTTCTACTGTTTCCCACTTCTTTATCACATCCCAGGAACAATTCAATTGGCTTCGCAAACGGGGATCTGTACGCTGGGCAAAGGTTACCAGCTGTCTCATCATGTAAAGACTCTGACCGTTTTGGAAGAGGTGTCGCCCAAATTCTGCTAAAAGAAGATCCAGGGTAGAAGGGCAAAGTACTAGTTCTTCCGCAAAAACATTTCCAACTTTACCACTAAGCCAACGGAGAAAACCATCCCAGATGTTACGACCCAAACGGTCTGTAGCAGCAGTTACAAGTTTCACATCAGCTAAGTCCACATTGGCTCGAGCTGTTGTGGGCTTCTGTCGAGGTCCTGGATGCTGAGCTTCACCAATCCTGCTGTGGTCGCAACGCGAGATCAGGCTGAAGTCAATTTGTCTGCGATCAGGAAGCAATCCGCAGTCGATGAGCATAGCTTTGGCCAAATAGAAGCACAGCCTCTTCGGATAGGTCTGCGCTACCCGAGTCCAGCTTCTGCCATGCACTTTCGACCACCCAGACAAGCGAAGGTGGGTATGATCACGACTGCACCAAAACTTCTGTCCTCGCAGATGAGTGCTCGTCAAAAAACGAGAGCGCTTGCGCCACTTGGTCCCCAGCGTGCAGTAGTCCAAACGGAACACTTGGGAAGCTGTCCTAGCGCCCAGCTCGACGAACTCGTCCAGGTACCAGAGAAAGCTACCGTCAGGATTTTCAACCCAAAAGTGTATCTTGAGTTCTATGCACACTTGAAGTAGGTGGGCAAGCCACTGGGCATGACGGTTGCCCAGTTTTACTTTTTCCTCCATCTTCCGACTGAGGTTGGGCAATCCGTAAGGCAAGGAGGCACTCCTTACGGGTGGTCTGACTGCTCGAGAAAAGGAGGAGCAGAAAATCGCAGCTCCCAGCCCGAGAATGAAGCCGCTTCGGAGGAGCCTCTCAATGAGGCTTTTGTTCTGCTCGCTCAGCACGTCTTGATTCGGTCCATCCTCCAGTTCGAAGGTGATGACCCAGGTGTCTGTCAAGGATACGAGGGCTTTAGCTACACCTTTCTTCCCAGAGTAAAGATCCAGAAAACCTGGAGTGCTGGGCCGCCAGTCCTCATCCATTTTGCCTCGCAGATGCGCAGGCAAAACAAACTGCTCAAGGGGAACTTCATGAAGAATGCCACGCTTTTCCTTTGTCGACGCTTGCACTGCGCCCGGACCCAAAGATGAGTCACTCGGAAGTGGTACCTCCGGACCCCGTACTGCAGTAGTGGGAGACAATCCACCCTGCACTGAGCTCGAAGAACTAGGCACGCAAGGTCCACTTCCGACTGACTCACCTGGATCAGCAGGGGCTCGCAGCCTCATAGGTTCTGGCACTTCTGGGAGCTCAGCAAGGTCTTCAGACAAGCCGCAAGGAGCTCCTTGTAGCTCTTGAAGATCTGGAAGCCCTGAGGTGGCGTAGGTGTCAGCATTGTAAGATTCCAGCCACTGGTCAAAGGCTGAAATGTCTCCTTGGGCAGCTGAATGAAAAACATCAGGTAGAGCAGCTTCAGGGCTTCGGACACGCTGTCCTCTAGTCGGATCGTCTGCCGTGTTGATCTCTGACGGCACGTATCCGCAGTTGCTGTACATGCCGCATCCTAAGTGGATCCCAAGGCTCTGCTGGAGCTCCTGGTTGAGGCCAAAAGAACTAGACCTTCCTTTCACCCAAGCCCCAAGAGCGACCTGAGAGTCGGCTAAGCTGAAAACACGTGCAGGAAAGTGAGTCTTCGCCGCTTCTGCTTCGGCTTTTAACATCCCACGCATCTCCAGAATATTGATATGCCGACCGGGAGGCATAGCTTTTCGACAAACCTCCTTGTATCGCAAGGCTGAGGCTAGTACAATCCACAAGGGATGGCTGGCAAGCATCTGTCCTTCTGGTAGTTCTTCGGCCGGAGAAAGGACTCCTTTTATACGCTGCAGTGACTTCAAGGGAGACAATAGATGAACCCACACTGACTTCCGGAGCTTGTGTCTGTGGATCTCTCCTTGTAGCCAACTCGGCAAGGGAGCGCGAGTGACTCCGATGCCCCACTCTGAAGCATCGCTGCAGTAAACATGTTCTGCGTTCTCTACTTTTAAGTTCGTCACAGCTAAGGGGGCTAGACTAAGGCACATAAACAGTTCTTCTTTCAGCTCCGGTGACAACCGGATTACATGGTTCCTTGCAAGATTCACCATGCCCAGCTTGATAAACCAGATTCAGCAGAGAAAGCAAACGCCTACGAAAAAGAAATATTGAAGTCCAGGCTCCTGTGAGGATCTCCAAAAGGCTTATGCTGCAGACTCCCATCTTCAAAACACGGGCTGTGACCGCAATCACAGGAATGCTTCGCTTGAGGTTTGCCATGCATAGTCCGTGCAATCCATCGAATTGGCAGCCCCAAAACTCACTGTCAGCCTGTTCGAAAAAGGTCTTGTCCGGGTGCGGCAGCAATCCAACTCGCTTGTACTCGCCAAGCGCTTCTTCCAGGAAGGCTCTGCCTGCACGAGAGGTCACTGGGGATTGATGGAAAACACTTTTCAGCATAACTTCAAACACCACCAGATCGTCTATGACGATTCCTGCAAAGCTTTTCTCCCTGGGTATTGCCAAATCCATACTCACCAGATTATTTTTGTTGATAAGTCCAGATTGAACGAGGATGCACAGGTGTGCGGTCTGTGCAATTTCGACCGCTTGTGCATCCCCCATAGCCAGGGTATTCAGACTAAAAAAGACCCGACGCCCTTGATGAACTTTGGGATCATAGCATTTGAAATCAGCATAGTCATCAGCCCAAACAGAATTAACCAAACTGTTCCGCACCAGACGTTCTGAAGAAATATGGAAGCTATAGTAAAAATCCCTTAAGTCCGTAGAGCTCACGAGGCAAACCTCGTCTTCACGCAATTGAAGGTCTAACAGTGGGTTGGTCGAGGCCATGGCTTTGACCCATCTACCCAGAGGCTGTTCTAGAGTATTGAAAGGTCTTGAATCAAAAATAAGACGGTCTGCTTTCAGGTTCTTGATAACGCTAAACAGTCCTGCTTGGTAACCTGTCAAAACTTCTGCTTCATCAACCATGCCCAAACGACCACATGCATCCAACTTGCGGAAGAGCTTGTCTCTCTCTGTGTTGCTTGCATGTATCTTGACTGGTGGTGGTTCCACAATTGCTTCCTCTGGAGCCAAAGCATTCTGAATAGGGTGCTCAAAAATAGACCGGCTTCGCTCATCCAAATACGGCGATGGACTGAAAGAAGGTTTGTCTGGAAATTCAAGTCGATCGCTCTGTATCGGTTTAGCTGCAACAGTGCTTGTGGTTCGAGAACTGCCTATCCACTCCCCGATGGGCACACGCTGCAACCCTGGAGCAAAGCCTTGTTTCCTTCTTCGACTGTTACTCATGTTGCTAGGTTTTCCCTCGACATTAGTACCAAACAAAATATCAGTAGCAACACTTTCAAAAGAACCAAGTTGATTCAAAACAACTTCAATATCTTCAACTTTGGACGCCGTCCTTCCCATGTCTGCAGCTGTCACCTCCGGTGCATTTTTCCAAGCCAGCATCGTCCGCTCCATCTGCCGAACAGCCTTCCACTGCAAGCTGCTAAGTTTCTGCCCAAAACAAATCTCAGGTGGTGCTACTGCTGCTCTACGTAAATGAAGCCAATTCAGAACTAGGATAGCCAAACACAACCCTCTCTGAAAACTTCGTTCACCAGGAGAAACATCACCTAGAGATTCGGCACGGAAACAGCTCTGATACGGCAGAGGCATGGGGAAAATGCTAACCGTACTCCTCGACGTCAAGGATGTGACTGGTTTCCGGAACAGGGATTTGAAAAATGATTTCAAGCTTCCTGACGTCTGCAAGAGGCTTCGACATGCACTGTCCCACCAGGCTTGAACCCTAACTGTGCTGGCTCTAGCTCCAGGGACTCTCGGCACGGATTGCTGAGACTGTTGCTGCTGGCTCGAGCTGGGTCCTTCAGACGCAGGCTTCAAACGCTGCGAGCTGGAGGAAATCAAAGACTGATCATCCACTTTCAGTTGCTGGGAGCAGCGGGCTGCTGCTCCGTCTTGTTGCCTTTCCCATCTTTCCCTTTTCCTGCCTTCTTCTTCGGCTTGGGGTCTGCCTCGACATCCTCTTGGTTGCCACCACCTCCTTTTCGCGACTTGCCCAGTTTCGCTTTCCGCTCGGCATACTCGTCCAGCTCCTTCACGCGATACATCACTGCATCTACCCAGCGGCTGTCGAGCAACTTTGTGTGAGGAGCTTCTTGGAAATCGGGAGCTGCATGTCGAGCAAAGGAAGAAAAAGGTGGAGGCGCTTCTAGAGCTAGCTCCGAGGCAATCAACCACTGCCCCCTGTCGCAAGCTACTTGATCCAACATCGCCAACAGAAGAGCGAGGCGAGTCTGCCCCTCTTGGACCTTCCCACAGCGTATGGCATCCAGCGCCCCAGCAACGCACCACAAAATTCTCACCGTGGCCGCTATGTTGGGAATGTGGCTGCGATGCTCCAGCCAACCCCGGAAGCTGCCCTGACGTGGAGGCTCCCCGGGCATGAGCTCGCGAGACCCAAAGTCTTCGAGCATCTTCTTTTCGATCACCTGGTAGAGCTCTCCAGGCTGCTCGACCAAGCTCTTCTTCAGCGCTGTCAGGATGGCAGCTTGTCTCCTGTGAGTCCCCAAACCGGAACTGGAACTGGCTCCCACTTCGTAGCCAGCAGTATCGTCCAACATCTCCTCCAGATTCTTGGCTTTCTTCTTTCCAGCAAGAGCTTCGGCTATGCTGGTCAGTCGCACCAGAGCTGCAGCCACTGGATCGGCAGGCAGAGCTTGAACAGGATCTCCAGAGGCTGATAGCCCTGGAGGCTCTTCTTTCTCTTCTCCGTCTGTCTCTCCTAACACATCCAGATGAGCAGCCACGTTCTTCTTCGGAAAATCGCCCAACTTGCTTGGAGTCTTTTGAACCATCTGACTCATAGCCCGAAGGGCATCTGGAGTCACCCCGCTGGCCAATGCTGAATGGACTACGCTCGGATCCAGCCCAGGATAGGCCGGAGGAGCCACAGGCGTCTTTGCGGCAGCTTTCACATCTGAAGCAGCCTGGCTTCTGGAAGACAAAGGTTGACCATCGATGATAACCCGGAGGCTCTCTTGAATGCCTTCGAGACTGGCCTCCAAAGCTGCCAATCGCTTTCCATGAGATTCGTCTCCTTCTGCAGGATGATGGGCTGATTCGGCAGTGAGGAAGGAGAACTTGTCGTCGGCAACTGACACAAGTCCGTCTGCGAAGGGTAGAACTTGGAGGCTTTCGTCTTCGGTCCAAAATCCCACCGCCTCTCCCCCGTCTAGATCTTGCAAGATGGAGACACATGCTTCAAAGGTAGGGGACAGATAGCCAACCCAGCAGCGAGTAAACACCCCTTCCAGGCTGGTAATCCGATCTTCGAAAGTGCAGGCAGCAACAGCAACACTGAGTGGTTTGATCAGGCTCTTTGGCGGCAACAAACGTTGAGCAACAGTACGGTGCCAGGCGGCACCAGGAACAGCAACCAAAAATTTGGAGTCCACCTCCGAAATCAAAATAATACAAAACTTTGACTCTTCAACTTCAGTACTAGGTGGCACTGTGAAAAGTCCTAAAGAGTATTCTGGATCAGCAGTGAAATTCTCTTGATTCACCAAGGCCGACCTGAGCTCCTGATGATGGAGCTCCGCAAGTTCTTGAGGATTAGCCATCAAAAGGCTGAGCTGGGACGGTCAATCCGGCTTCCTCAGCACAGCAAACAGCGTCCTCCCAAGTGGGTAAGCCCACAAACAGGCTCTGCTTGAATCCTCCTTGGTCTCGCACAACCTTCTCAGCTTCTGACCAGGATGTGTAAATGCGCACTGGATCAAAAACGGTGCCCCTAGCAGATCGAGCTACTAAATACACCTCAGATCTCTCTTTCAACTCAGCCCTCCCAGACTTGCCTCTGCGCTGGCCAGCAAGCGAATTGCGCAGCCAATTCCCGATGCCAAGCAGCTTGGCAAAACGAACAGCCTGAGCACCACCTTGATCACGTGGAGCAGGGCGGCCCGAAGTCGCCGAAGTTGCCTGGTCAGCGGCGGGTGACGGAGGCTCGTCAACTAACTCAAATCCGGCAATTGATTCAGCTGAGGAAAGGCGGGCTTCCACGGCTCGCAAAGCTTGGCGAAGCGATGCAACCTCTCTTTCTAGCTCAACTACACGAACCTCTAGAGTAGCAACAGTGGAGGTAGATGAGGTAGAGCGGCGCATACACCCAGCTAGATATCCCGATACAAGGTGTGCTTGGAGTTGGGAGTAATCAACCTAGATCTCAGCCAGATAGTCCACGCTTGCCGCAAGGTCAACAAAAGCTCCAAAAATGGAAGTACAAACAGCCCAATGAAAATGCCAAGGCCCAAAATGCAAAGCTCTCGTTCAGATAGATCCAAGAAGCCCAGTATCACAGGGCAATTGCAATCCAGTTGAGGTATAGCTGGCAATGGTTCAGGAACTGTATGGACAGTGCTGGCAAAATCGTGAAGCAGGCTAAACAGCAAGGATGATATGCCGCCCCCAGCAAAACCGAGTGAAAGAACACGGGGGTGACTGGCCATACACTCACTTGACCCAGAAAGCTCTAGGCGCCACTCAGGTAAAACATGAGATCATAAATATTATGTAATTATATATATATTATATATATATACATATTAGATTGGTGATTTTGATTGATACTCTAAGTTCCGGTTTGGGACATATACCCATTGTTTGAAGTAGCACAGCTGTATTATCTCAACTACTCCAGGGCGCCCAGCAGGTGAAGGAAAGGGCGTGGCCGTGGAAACCGTTCGTGTCGTGGGTGTGGGTGACGTGTCCTCCCACGGACCCATCATGGAAAGGGATGGAAAGGGATGGATAGGGGTCCTATGTGCTGCAGTCATCTGCTGTCAAAACATGCTACTGATTCCATGGTCCACAGGGAGTATCGCTCTACACATATGGCATATAATTGGCATATTGTGGATAGGTGCCTTATTCGCATTATGCCTTGAAAATGGGAGCACTCTGTGGATCTCTTCAAAACCCTTGCTAGGTGGCCAACCTAGCCAAGACTTCAGATCTGTTGAGCACCCCACTTGAATGACAACCTATCTTTTGTGCCACCAAAGGCTTGTGAAGCTTGAACCAATGCAATCAACCGGAATGGTATTTCTGCTTGCCAGCATTTCCATCCATTTCCTACAAATAATAAGCCAATCAACTTCTTTTCATGTTTAATTTGTGGCTGTAATCCAAAGTATGTCTTCGAAAGAAAATGGACCGAACTGGCTAAAAAATGTGTTCTTGGCAAGATATGAAGCTGGCATCTTTTTTTGATGGATATTAATGGTGCTCTGCAACAAACACGTGAATCGAATAAGTAAAGGGGAACAAAAACTTACGTACTCCCCCTGCAACTGTGCGCCTTCTGACGCGAATTGTCCATGCGTTCAGCCTGACTACAGTGGTGCAAAAACATCACACGACGAACACGCAAGCAGCACTGAGGGCATAGGGATGGCCTTCGGGTCATGATTTGCGGAGATGCCCAAGTTCCATCGATGACCTGTAAGAAAACCTCCCCTTTCACCAATTTTCTTTGCTCTGCCTTGCAGATCCTTGCAGATCCTTACAGCTTACCAATCAGAATGGATCAGAATGGTCATAGCCTTCCAATCCATTGCCCGCCACACAGCAATCGGATTCACTCCATCCACACCTCGCAGTGGGTCACCAAAGTTCCCCCCGGCAATCCGATCCAAATACGAGGCTTCGGGCCGGCTTGGCGTGTTGGGTACCGGTTGCAATGGCTCAAGTCACCCACTACAGTTTTTGGTGCAAGAGTATCTGAGCAACACCCAGATACACCCAGTATGTTGATTGCACACGATATTACATGATTGTATCATATTGTACGAGTACCCATCCAATGCAGCGACCTTTTTCAGGCTACAACTCTGGAACTTGGTCGGATCCCACGGTTGGGCATCCCCATCCGCGACATTCGGTCAGCTCGACCGAGTTAGCTGTGGTGCCACACGGGCATCCTAGCCGAGTCCAAACACATGGCACAAATAAGTCATAAAATTGGAGAAGGATTGTCAGAACAAAAACATACTGTAATAAGTTCCATGTATGTTTTCTGCGGTGGATGGAGGGGGGAAAAAACTTATCAAGTCGACAACACTGAATCCTTCTCCTGTAGCATTGCTCCACCATGTTTTCCATGTTTTTCCTACATCTGCGGAACATCGGGAGTTCCACGCCGGTCGCTGCCACGTGGTATGTCTCAACTTGTGGAAGTTGTTCAGCTAAAGACATGCGGGCTGCACCAGCCCCTCTCGTTGCCTTTGTGCGATCTGGTGGCAACATGTCTAATTGTGTTCGTCAACGGGAAAGCTTCAGTAACCAGGTTTAGATGGAAGGCGAAAAAAGGGCACAGTATGTCCGCAAATAGCGGACTCCCAGAATCCAATGGCCCAATGGCTGGGTGATCCGTTTTCTTCATGATTGCACCGTCCTCATGTTTGGTCAACCACCAGCCCCATCTCAGAGACCCAGGTCTCGCTAGATGTTGAATGATCCTTTAGCCTTCTCATAGCCTTCTCTCAAGCTGAGTCCCCCTGATCCTTATCCCTTGACTTTCGTGGGAAATCAGGTGGTGCAAAAGTGAGATGGTTCCCTAGTTCCCTCCATGTCATTTTTCCCAGCCCAGGTGCTGGAGGTCCAAACCTGAGATGGCAGCAATTGGCAGCATAAGCTGCTGGCAAAATCGGCAAAGCGGGCCAAACAAAAATCGCTGGATGGCATAGGTGCAACATGGTGCAACGGTATGGGTATACCATACTCTCTTTCAACATCTTTTAGGTCACCCCTTTTCTTGAGACCTGCATTCAATCAAGGAGAAGGAACTGCTACACATGATACCGTACGATGTGGCAACCTTCAAGGCAAACCAATGCGTTCAAGTGAAATGACACGAACTTTGTTGCAACGCGTTTGAGACTGCAGGAGAGAACACACGTGGTTTGCTTCTCGTGACAAAGCTCCCTGTAAATCTTAATCTTGTGAAAGTTTCACGCACTCAACCTTTCTGTATTTGATTTAACTTCTAGATTCATTCCAGAACCCTCCGATCGTTTCATTGCACATCTGGCGATTGCCTCTAAATCTCCAAGTCGAGAAGCCAATAACCAGCCTCGATCACGGCGAAGGACCTCGCACATGAGTCCAGGTTCCACCACAACGCACCTGGGAGAAACCAGCTGTTGAGAATTGGGCTGAAGGAACGAAGAAACATGAAGAAACATACTGTACTTGTAACCGATCAAAAGAAAGACACGGTTTGTCTCCTGATCGCGAGGAATGACAAGGCACTGCTCTCCAAAGCCCGCCTTTGGTCCATCCCAGCTCTTTCCAGACACTAATACCTCGCGCCGTGCCGGCGCAGCACCGTGCTTCTTGGGCACATAGCCTTGACGTCGGCGTATTCCCAAGGGTGTGGCAGCTATCGCAGCAGCCTCCTCTTTGGCCAAATCGTCCAAACGAGTGAAAGCACGGGCAGCCTCTGGGAAGCGAAGCACTGAAAGAAGTACAGTGAAAGAAACATAGGGGACCCCATGGGACCCAAATCTCACCCAAAATGCTCCTACATCTCCAAGAACGCTCCAAACATCTCCAAAATGGCCTACTTCAACAGGGGAAGTCCGTTTGGGGTTCGCCAACATTAAGAAACAGCTCACAGCAGGCCTGGAGCCACAAACCTTTCCTACGAGCTGCCCTGATCAAGATCACCAACTCGGAGTACTCCTAGCGCCCCAAGGGACCGCTTGGAACCAAATGCACGGAATTTGATTCGTGTAAGACTCATTACTCGTTACCATATTTTACATGGTGCGGCTTGTACCTGGCAAGTAAATCAATCCAATCAACCTACACGACATTGAAACATCCAAAACAAACACCGCCCAAGGGGCATACATGACATACACCTTGTGGATCCTTGTGGTGTCCTTGCAGTTCTGCAGGCGCTGGACTAGTTCTGTTTGGTTCTTGGGGACGAAGGCAAATGGCCTGCAGACAGGATGCTGACATTGAACTTTTGATCGTGGACTCTGCATGAATCTCTGTAGGTTGGACGCTTGGAACCAAGTTTCACACAGTACCGCTAGGGTGCTGTTTACAAATTTGTACAGGCAAAGCCAGTGACCCAATCAAGTGTATGTAAAATATGGTAAAATGCGGTAAAATGGTAAACAAATGGGAATGACATCTTGCGATACGAGGAGACTCAACCGGCTTAAGCCATGACTCTCACTCTTGCTATGAACTTGGATTTAACAAAAGGAAACCTTGCCGCTGGCAGGAGGTGCCATAACCGTTATAACCAGTAGAATTCAAGAGGAACCAGCTGAAATGGACGGAATGGACGAACCGACTTTTTCTGCCTGTTTTTCTTAAAATCATGAGACAATGCACGTCATTCCTCTCTGCGCATCCCATCCCTCCTGCAGCTGCGGATGGTTGCTGTGGCACCGACGGGAATGACTCCTGGAGGTGCTTCCAACCTGGCCATCGCTTCGAAACTGTTCAAACATCAGGGAAGCCATAACATCATATCACATCTATTACGCCAATGGTCGCAATCTGCCTTGAGTTTCCCTCTCTGTCTTGCCACGCAAGTCCACCAAAAGCAGCAAAGTTCTGATATTTCCATTATGCTCAGCTCAGTAAACAGAAACGGCCACATATGTCCAGTAAACACATGTAAACACTAAACATTGGCCTTGGGTGTTTTTGTGTGCAGCTGAGCCACTGGTGTTCATCCACCAGGCCATTGTGAAGCAGTCGGTTGCCAGTACCTTAAGTATCCAGCTGGGTTTGTGTGAAAATCGGGTGCCCCCAAATCGCATGGTCTATCTTGGTTTATCTTGGTTTCTCATAGTTTATCATAGTTTGTCGCATTTTCCCAAGATTTCCCAATAATTACATCTCAATACATCTGATATCATTTTGGTGTATCCCCAAGTCTTGGACAAACCTGGCTGGGTGGTTGTGGCTTCACTCAGTCTGCCGTTGCGGTGACCATCTTCGCCCAGTTGCGCATTTGGATCTCCGAATGCTTTCCCACGACTTTGACGCCAGACAAACACTCTCGCACGTCGTTGGATTGCAAGACCGCGCGGCAATCTGCGACCGCCAAAATCGCAGGGCCACCACAGTCCGCGATATGATTCCTCCAAGCCCCAAGCTACCCAAATTCAGAAACTCACGGCCTTTGAGACTGATAATTTCTTCCGATATCCATCATATGTCCGGAAGTCTCACCGAATCGTTAGATGAGAAGTTTGAGAATTCAGCATACCTTGAGAGCAAATTTACATGATGTTCTATTCAAATACAGTGATTTTCCATTATGATTTTCCTTAAGGTGTCCATCGTGTCCATCCAAATTGGTGCCGCAGCTCCTGTGTACGAAAGTGCTACCACCAACCAATACCAGGCCAGCTTCGCCCAAACCTCGGATACTGTTGTCCTGCCAGTTGCTGAATCTGCTGAATGCTGACAATGCTGACATCTGATTCATCTGAAATGATCCAAGTCGTCGGAACAAAATGCACCTCTCCTCCACTCGGCCCGCAGCGTTTACCAAGACCAAGCCCCAACGAGCACTTGAAACCTGGGCTCTGGAAGACGTGGAAGACGTGTACAGATCACAAAACAAAATCTCGTTTGGGTAGGGATCTAGATCGACTCAAACAGGATGATCATCTTTGAATTGTGGCACCGTATCATCTCCACAAGTTGCAGTGCCAATATATAATGCAAACAAAAACCATTCGGTTCTTTTAGACAGCATCCTTTCCCAAGAACTTGGAACCTGATGCATGGTTGGGCCCTTAATAATCCGAATAGTTGTCGACATTTGAAGTGATGCCAAGCCACAAAGTTCCTCAGGATCATTGGCGATCCTCCCTTTGCCTTGATACACGTCCCCCAGGCACCTGGCGCGCCGATGGTAAGTCTTGGATTCTCTCCACCAATGGCCCGTCACGTCCCTCAAAGATTTGACAAGCCAGTCTGGAACCTATGCTATTCCACTGGCTAAGGCCATCTAAACTTCATCAGAATACCGTTGAGCACAAATGAAGTCTAAATGCCTCACAGGCTTTGCAGGCTTGGGGCTGCTACAACAAGCCGTCCACCAGGCCTTCAGCAAAGAGTTTGCAGCCCACAATCGCTGGCTCTCCATCCTTGCGGATACCAGGATGATTTGTAAATCTGAGAAGAATCGCGTTTCACGCCAGTCCTACAAGCAACAAGAAATAGCTTTGTCAGATAATACAGTGTCTAGATAGTGTGGTCCATCATTGTTTGAAACATATACCTCATCAGTATCCCATTATCACGTTATACTGGTTGGTTAATATGCCTAGATTACGTAAATCATCCCCAATCAGCGAGTTTATATAACTCCAGTTATATAGTATAACTCCCAGCAAGCCAACTCATTGCCTAAATGATGCTCTCTTTTATGCTCTTTTCTCATGATATTCCCTGTTAAAATGGTCATTTGGGGGTATGAACTACTTTCCACCCCAAAATCAGAGTTGGTGAGTTCAAAATCCCATTCTTCATAGTCTCATCATGTCTTATCCCATCCGATCCCCATGATACTGTATCCCCATTTTTTGGATCCAGGCACCGTGTGAATCTCCACCGCCGCCGCGTTGGGCGCCGCCACCAGCCGCAGGTTCCGCACCATGGCGCTGTGGGCGCCGGGGCCGCTGATGCACAGTGCGGGGCCGCGGCCGGAGCGAAGGGTCGTCTCCTTGGCGGCCCAGGGGCCCAGTGACACCTGGATTTTTCATGCTTTTGGGGAAGAAATGGTCATAAGCATATATAATATAACAACCATATGGTAATGATTCGTAAGCTTCATAAGTTGGCATATCAGCTACTATAACTATGGTTGTATGATTGTATGTATGTATGTATATATATATATATCCCCTTAGAAGATCTTAGAAGTGGATCTGGACCCCTAAGTAGTTTTTTTTCTCATAATATAGAGACATTGGAAGAAAGAAATGGGTTCCCCTTATTTTTCCTCCAGATGTAGAGAATTTCTAGAACTGTTTCAGGGAACGCCTGCTTCTCGAATTGGATGTTGTGATTTTTTTGGAATATGCCTTCCACCAGAGCTGGTATAAGTTGCTGCTTTTCCAGTGCTGCTGGGTTCATCTGATCAGATTGTGCTCTTTGGAGTACTTGGGTGCTAAGAAGCAGTGACAGAAAACGGAGGGCGACACTAGGATGGATCAACATGTGGGATGTGGACCTTGGAGATTTTCAAACAAAGGGCATCTAAACCCAGACATTGGAATCTCCTTGTCCTTTCTGGGAGATGTTGAATCACCTTTTTGAAGATCGCAAGCATACAGGAACTTCTAATTCCTTCATTCTGCAATTAGTTTCGAACATGTTTAAACGTTTAAACGTTTAAACCATCAAAGCAGCATTTCCTCAATCTCAGAGGTATCAGAGACTTTGGCCAAGCATCCCATCGACCTTCACCTGCAAGCTCGGCGAAGCAACTTGGATCACACGTCAATGATTGTTAATGCATGTTGATACAGAAATATAATAAAATTAAATAAATGTATGCACATGTACCGTCAAGGCCATCTGATTGCGAACTAATGATGAAACAGATCATCGACTAGTGTCTGCAAAGTTTCGACTCATCTTAAGTTATACCATCATCTTAGTACCTAAAATGCATCTTGACTGCATTGAAAGGCTGTCCTAGGATGATTTGAAAGCTCAAGCCTCAACCCGATTTTAACAGGCCTGTTATATCTGACATGTTTTTGTTCGCTGCATTTTCTATATCTCTTTGTTTGTCCCAGGCTCGTAAGGTTCACTTTGTTTGTTTATCTGGTTGGGAGTGAATAGCGGTTTTTGATGGTTTTTGAATCTCCCTGATGTTGTCCTGTCATGCCTTGCTGCAGTGCGGTGTATGTTGCTGCGAATCTGAAGGTTGCAGGAATTCAGGACAGGCTGGGTGTCCCAAACAGCTTCCAATGCGTGTCATGGCTCATTGGAGACTATTAGCGGTCTCTCATCTTGGCCTTCCATCGATGCTTGGCTACCCTTGTCACATTACAGTACGTCCCATCGTCCCATGAAGTGGCATCAACAACCCATCTCACTATTGATCTCAGCAATCTCAGCTGTCCCACCTCCCGAACCCCCGAGCCTTCTAGCAACACAGGGCTACGCAATTCCAATGTGTCTACTTCATGAACGCCGTGATGCAGCCTGAGCTGCCACTGCCATCAGCCACACTTGACTTCAGTCACTTTGTCAACTTGCGAACCCATGAAAGATATGTAAGCAAGAAGGAATCTGGCCATTAGCTGGGATCAACCAGAACATGCCTTCAGCTCACCTACCCTTGAGTTTATGACTAGTTGCGAAAATTCGTGGATCCCTGGATCAAAAGGCACCAAGCAATTGGTGGATCATTCTGTATGCCAAGTTGCAAGACTCGATGGAGGGGCTCGTCGAAAGGTACCGCATCAAGGGCTGCCTGGCTGTTGGTTACCTATGGACTGTGGTACAGGCATGGTAGATCCATAAAAATCAAACACGCCCCCAAACCTTCTGGTTTCCTTAGGAAAATAGACTATGTTTGCCACGTTTGAGATTATCAGCATCAGCGTCCCCAGTTTTTGCGGCATACTGTACCCATTGCTTCTCAGAGATCCTTGTGAAAATACAAAAGTGGCCTGGATGGTGGGGAACTCCTCCGAAGGGGCTACGATCGTATGCAGAGCGGAGCACTGTGAATCCATGGGTGAGCCACCTGTCAAGGTGGCTGCAACCCAAGTGCTGGAGCAGGCCATTGGAATCCGAAAGCAGCTAAAGCAGCTTAGATTTTACATGATTTTACTGGGGAGTTCAGCAACATTGGGTACAGAACTGGCAGTTGGTGTACTGCGTGGCAGAGGAACTTCTCCTTGACTCATGCAAAACTTAAACCTTGTCATATGACAGTGTTGTAGTTCAAGGCATGACAACCCAGGTCTGATTTGAGGCCGGGATCATCGCAATTACCATTCTACCTTCCTATCCTTCCTCCACTTTGATTCAAAACCATTCATGATGACAAATCGACAAATTGCAACAAATTGTCACTTTGCAAGTCCAGGATAGTCCAGGATGGTTAGATTGTTAGATCATAGTTAGATCATAGTTAGATCATAGTTAGATCATAGTTAGATCAGGGTGGATGGGGAGATCTCCAGCTGTGCCCCTTCGCTGGTCAAGGCACAAATGGGAACACAATGCACATCATCCGGCTTGGTCCAGCCATTCAGCACCTTGCGGAACCTCAGTTGGAGATGGAGATGGTGGGTGCAAGACATGTCGAACAATGGGATAATCAGGTTGAACCATGCCGACCAAGCAACTCGGTGAAGGTCAAAGCAGCTGAGGGCTCAGGGGACAGCAACAGAACCACACGTTGAGCACGTAGAATATAGCGCACCTGCACATCACGTGCCAACTTACTATTGTAAGGTCATCTAGTCCACAGTTTCAAGACGGGATTCTGTAGTTTGGCTAGGTGCACCATGTTACATAGCTCCAACCTACCTCAGGAATGTAACCCTAAAACCACCAACTTAGCAAGCACTGTGTTTCTCGTCATGAAAATCAGATGGTCGAGCTTGCTGTTAATGGATCCAATTCCATTAAACGAACGGAAACCAATTGTCAGCCACACTCAGCCACCCTCTTTCCATCTTTCCCAAGCTACAAAAGAGGATGATACACGTTGTTGCGGACCCCCAGAGGTCCTCATGGGTGGAATCTTCCTGCAAACCACCGCGCCAACGCGCCTCAGAAACACAGAACCCTACAATGGCCCTACAACGTATTGCGAGAGCTGCGAGAGCTGCGAGAGCTCAAGAACTCATCAGTGGTTATTTTGGTTATTTGAGTCTGTGCTACGAGTACCGCGCCAGAATCACATGGTTTGAATTGGTCCTACAAGAAATTTATCTAATCTGAAAATATCTGAAATGATCTCAGTCTCCGGATTTCAGCTGATCTGCAGTTTAGTTCATCCCTGTTGATCTTCCAATTGGAACCACGGCAAACGTCTCAGACAGATTCTGTAGTGGCTCTGCTATCTTTGCTGAGACTCAAGGCCGGTTGGGCCACATCTTGGAAGATCTGCAAAGCAGGATGGCTGAGAGAAAGTGATATCTCTTTTGCATCAGAAAGATATATATATATATTATACATATGTATGTACATATTATATATATATGTATATATATACATATAATATGTAAATATATATATAATATGTAAATATATATATATATTCATATAATATGTAAATATATATATATATATTCATATAATATGTAAGTAGAATTATATCCGCATGTGTGTATTTATGTATTGAATACAGTATTGTTTATTTTGATATGTTTTCTACTTTGGTGAATCTCCTCCGCCAAGGCACATCTTTGGTTCCACAGAGCCACCGTCCCAGCAGCTTGCTATCACTGACTGCCTGGCCCCACTCCCATCTCTGAAGCATCGCAGGGACATGTTATCATCCCCATGAAGGTACCTATCTGTGCAATGACAATCCGTGTGTCCATCTCCCAGGTTCAAAAGACTACAGTAGTATTTTCAACGGTCAGAACATTGATCTGTCCAGAACGTGCAGGTATGGGCATGAGCAAAGAATTTAGACGTTGATTCTGGGATAGACATAGCGCCTTTAGGAGTGCTGACATTTTTACTTACAAGACTTGGAGTTGTTAAAGAAAACATTAGACTTAGACTCTCCCTTCCTTACAACTTCATCGGTGGCAAACCTATTTGAAGTGGGTGTTCAACTCGCTTCAGAGTTTAGTTTCGCTTTTCAACGGGGTCAAACCAAAGAATAAAAAACTTTAACTAAATGAAGTACTGAAGAGCCGCGCAAACGGACTCCTCAAACTCTATCTCCGTCTCCGGCAAACACGAAGAACCAAAATTCCCAACCCTTGTGCCACCACTCATGAATATCATGAATTCCCAGGCCTCCTGCCAACGTTGTCGAAATTCCTGGCTGCTGCCCTCGAAACGCCGCACCACAGGGCTCCCTTTCAGCTGCGCACGGTCCTCCCAAGGTGCAGCAGGTTCAGCCCACTGGTAGCGCAAGGGCGGTCGCCACAAAGTCGGCCCTTGCGCCAAAGGGAGGCGCCAGGAATGGCCTGGGTCAAGGTGCTTGTGACACTTGTGCTGACAAGGCCCGTGCCTGGGATTTCAAGAAAGGACCTAGAAAAACCTGAATTTTGTTCTTCAGGTTGTTCCCTCAGCGATTGGAATTACTTCAGGAAGCATCCCAGTAGTTGGCAGGACCAAACACGAACTGTCAATCCCCGTTGGAACAGCCAATTCCACAGAGATCATAGAGAATTGCATCACATGGGTGCAGACCTTGGCAACCGAGGAACGACACCGCCCAAGGCGGATCCATTCGTCGATGGGCAAATCCTTTCCTGATGCAAAACGCTGCACCGAAGGGAAACGGATGAGATGAACACCCATTCGTCATTCGTCGTATCTGGGGATCTGGGACCAATCTGGGAATGCGGATTCCAGCGGCTCAATCTCGTGCCATGATTTCACTGTTTTCATCATGTCTTGATATGTCCCGATATGTATTGATATGTCTTGCATGTTCATCTTATCCCTTCACCTCAGTTTGGAAGGGACCTCCAGGTCTTCATGCCATCTTGCTTCCAGTTCAGTATTTCATAGTATTTCTAGTCTTCTTGGTGATATTCTTGCCAATCATGGCAATCATGGCACATCATGGTACATCAAGGTACCCCCACCGTTGCCCCGGGCTCGAGCCTTTGCACATCCATCTGGCCTGGCACGGCTTGCCATGGGCTCAGTGGATTTCCAAAAACATGACCAGGGTTCACCCACCAGTTTAGATGTTTCAGAGACATCCATAAAAAAATAGACTTGTCTGATTCTTTAGGAAATCTCTAGGAACTGAGAAGTTCTAAAACTCTCAAGGCTTTACTCTTCCATCATCTATGGAAGGTCAGTGACCTGGAGGGATTGGAACGCATTGAGTCTAAACTGGCTTCTCAATAATCATACAAAGAGGTATTGAATCAGGTATTGTTTCTGCTGGGTACGTGTACTTGTAGGCACATTTATCAAGTCAAGCAAAGTGGCCACGTCGTAGAGTTGGAAAAGATGCTCATTGTCACAAAACTTTGAATGCAAGGCCGGAAAACACCAGCATCAGCCCGAAAAGCGACATGCCTCTGGAAGAGCTAAATCGTTTTCAAGATCCTGGACAAGTTCGGTTGGAACACGGGTGGATCTACACCAGTAGAAACGGTCGGGTGTTGCACGAGCATTCACCAAGATGATTGGCTTATAGCCGAAGCTCGTCTGTGGCAGAGTTTTGCATTGAAAAAGAACTTGCCGTTTGATCATGTCTTACGAGTATCCATTTGACATCCATTGACATCCATTGACATCCTAAGATTAAGGACTAGGATGGACTAGGTTAAATTTGCAAATTCAGGATAATAATGCAGAGGAAGTAGGAAGCAGCTTCTGAATGTCTGACTAAAACGGTTGGGCATCTGTTGAGATTCCACCTTTTTATCAGCTTGCTTGAAGGAATCCGTACTACGTATCCAGGATCGTGAAGGCCTTTTGAGAAGAATCCTTGCGTAAACTTGACCCAATAGTTGTGGTTCAACTACTGTAGATTAGAATAGCCTCTCAGCAGCACAGCTTTTAACGCTGATGGTTTCTTCGATTTCCACTCATAAACCTAGAAATGTGAAGGCTAGATATGCTGTCTTGAGACCAATGTCGTAAACTACAAGTTAGATACAGTAACATGTTACATGGAAGGGCATGATTCAATCATCTTCACAGAAGTTTGCTCGCTCCTTGCATGGGATCAAGCGCAAGATGCCTTCGGGTAGACATGGGCGTCCAGCCTTGGTCGATGGGCATCAAATCCAATCGCTGGGAGGATGTAAGTTTGAGCCACTGCTTGCCCTCATGCCAACCATTGCCCAACCATCCAAAAATATCTTTAGAAATGATACCATGGGTTCGCACGATAGAGGCGAAAAGTCCAGGAGATGTTCACAGAGGCTGAAACACCCGGATTCAGTCGAGTGGGGATCACTGCGGCGAAACACTCAAGACGTCGGAGAGACAATGTCAAAGAGAACATATCATAGTATATCTACACTCGTGGGCCAAAAACGTTCAGCATGGAAAGGTGAACCACTTGACAGGTCCACCGCCAATAAAATCAGTGAATGACTAAACATCCATCACAACTGGTCACAACTCACCAAGCAGCTTCTTCTTTGAGATAAGCATGTTGATCCATGAGCTCTCGTTCCGTGAAGAACTCGCCCTTCTGTTTTCGCTCCACAAACTCGCGCTTCAATATCCTGGAGGCATCCACTGTAAAAGGAATGATGCCCGCTGGTTGCATGTGTCTAGAAGAATACTGCAGTTCATCTGTGAGGGGGGCACCTCTGGGAAACTGTTTCTTTGCTCTGGCGGCTCTGGCGACTATATAATTATGTATTATTTACATATATATATATATATATATTTATATTTATACATATATATTTATTTATTTATTTATTTATTTATTGTTATTTATTTATTTATTAATTTATTTTTATTTATTTATTTATTTATTTGTTTATTATCATTATTGTTATCATGATTATTATTATCATTATTACTATTAATTATTGGTATCATTATTATTGTTATTTTATTAGTTTTATTATTATTATATACCTATATATATATACTATAATTATATATATATACATAATAATTATATATATACATAATAATTATATATATAATATTATATAATATTATATTAAATTCTATTCTATTATATTATATTATATATATACTATATATATACAGTATATAGATCTCTCTCTCTCTCTTGAAACGTCCATTTTTAATAAGATGGCACTACACCAACATCTTCGATTTTGCCATTCAAATAAAAACAAGTAAAATGTCGACTCTCGAAACCAGATCCCCAATATCGTCGCAGTCGCCTTTGTGCCTTGTCACAGTACGGCATCCGCAAGCCGTTGGTGCCACTGGTTACAGTCTGATCCACCACCTGACACCAGGGACTTGGAGCAAAGGATGTCAAACAGCGAGACGCAAGAGATTCCATCCTGCGATGAGTTGAAATAGGTCGACGAATTGTCACTGATAATACACCGGTGCTAAGAACATTTAAGAACAACTCTAAGCGACTCCAGGCAACTATGTCTGGAAAATTCTCATCAGGCATGACAAAGCGACAACAAGAAGCCGCTGACAGCAGCATCCAGAGCATCACACCTTGTCCCAAGTGTTGTCATCTGATTCCTTGGCCAAACTCATTCGGGAAACAATGGGAAACACATAACTTGATATAATTTGAGGACATTCAGGGGATTGAAAAAAGTTGAAGCCACACATCAACACCATGTGACCATCACAATTCCTGATCCCAGCATCAGCCAGGTAGGTCTGCAACACCTTCGCCAGCGGATGATCTTCCACTTCCTTGCCACCAAGGCATCCAGGGATCGAGCCATTGCAGTGAATCTGGAAGCGTTCAAATCTGGTATTGAAAAGTTTCTACAAGAGAAACATAGAAAGGCATACAGTATCATTGTCATTGGTCATATCATCCATATCTTTAAAGCATGTTAAAGCTGTGATGACTCTCTGGCAGGAGCTCAAAGGCACCAACATCCTGTCTAGAAGAATTATCTTCCCATTCCTGCTGGTTCCTTCCATTCAACCTCCTCGGCTTGGATCCTTGTATGATCCTTTTCACCTCTGAAGTCCTTTGATATTTCCAGAATTTTCCAGAACCAAAAGGCTAAAAGGTTCCACTTCCGCCATGTGGCTGAACATTCTCCCAGGTACTCCAACATTCGCTCCCGGATGGCCGTGAGCCGGTCTGGTGTCACCAGGACCTCAACGTGGTTCATGCGATATATTGATCTTATATTGATCTTATCCACTCGCTTGTTGGATGCTTGGATTCACGTGTTTGAATTGTTTGGGGTTTTGGACCGTTTTGGAAGGTTTCCCAGCTTTGGGACAATATGAACTGAACTGGGACCAGGTCTCCCCAAAAGATGGCATGGTCACTGAACCAACATCACTTGCTAGTGCCAAGATGCATAGGGTGCCACCAAATGCAAGGAGACCTTCACCAATTCCTGGCGCGCCGGGTGTTGTGGCTGACACCATGTCTAACTGCGCAGGAGAAAATTTAATTTTAAATGGACATGATAGGGTTGGGATGAGGTAGGGTATGATATGGTAGTATTATAAAATGGCAACACACTCTTGATCTCTTGATGCTACGCTAGAGATCCCGTACGTTATGGGGTGTGGTGGGGTGTTGACGTTCATGTTAACTTGCAACATGCTCGTGATGCTACGTTTGTAAGTTCCTCAAAAACTTCCACACGCAATGGATGCTACGCTTTTGATTCTCATTCTCCCGGGCTGTTTGGTGGGGTAAAATCCAGGACCCAGTTGTCCTGAGCAGAAAAGTGCCAGGGCTGTTTCACAACAATGACGGTTGAAAAGAAAAAAGACGTTCATGCAGAATGTTCATGTCAATCGTGACATAATTATCATAATTCAAGAGTCATATGCCCGGAGCGCCATTAATGATGGCGTTACCCTATGGTCCTGTCCATGTTCATGCTAGAACTTTCCCTTACTCGCGTGTTGCCCCAAAGAGTTAATGAAAATATCTAGCTCTGCAATTTGACCCACAATGCTCAACTTAGGTCGGGCAAGCAACTGGGGAGGAAGAATTGGTGATTCTGAATGGTTTCAAGAAATTTCGAAACAAGTAATCTAAGTAATCAGGACACATCTCCATCCAACACAATTTGCGCAAGCTTTCACAGTGAACCAACATGATCAACATGTCAAGTCATACGTTGTTTGCCAATTAAACGGCAGAAAGGTCTTGGTTTCGGCACACTGCACTGAAGCAATCGCTCCTTGACGCGATCCCAGCCCGAGGCATTGAAGATGCAGAAGTCGATCAAAGGAAGATCTGGAAAGAACTGGAAAACCTGAATCGGTTGAGGAAATCAGTAAAATCAGACATCATGGGATTTTGTGTGGCGTTCTTTTTGTTGATCTGGCTGCAAACAATGAACCATACGGTGAGTGGATTGGACTGGATCCCCGTGAGCTTCAATATAGCCACCATGCACAAACAGGACCTGGATGTCTGAACCATCACGGCAATCAGCTGGTTGCTGACACAACTGAACGCAAGCATCTTGGCTGCAGATTTTTCGATCCCCAATCCGCATCATCCGCATCCAGTAGCCGAGAAACAATCATCCCCAAATGTCGCAAAAGCACCAAATCCTGCGGCAGAAGGACAGCAGATGATGCCAAATCTCTTGAAACCGTTGGTACTTTGAGGCACGTCACAGCTATGCCTTATGATGATTTGCAGTAACCCCCAAAGAGATAAAAGATGATAAAAGTCATTTACCACCATTTACCACTAGTATTTCTGTTTCCCACATTTACCAGCTCTGTCCTCGCTGAGGACAAACCAATCAGCTCCATGCCAGCGACAGAAATCCACGCGTGACCGCCAGGGCCGCGCTCGTTTGATGCGCTCCGGCACAGCATCCAACATGGCACTGGAGGTCACCTTACCAGATTTCCATAGATTTCCCAGGATTGGGGCTCAGCAAAAATGCAAAACCATCACGAATCATGGGCATATCATGGGCTCTGCACCATGGTGCCTTCAGATCCATGTCAAAGATCAACGGAAAAATGCGCGTCTGACGCTCCATCAAAACCTCAGCCGCGTCAAGACGATCTGATCAATTGATGATCCTCAACACCTACACCTCAAGTCTACAAGGAGTTCAAGATAGTTCAAGGATGATTGTAGAGACACACACTTTTCTAGATCATCAGCTGATTCCCTGGTACAATCTGCCTTTGCGCGGAGCCATGGGAGCCATGAAGCCACTGGGATGTGTCGTTCGAAGAGCCACGCAATGGCCTTGTTGAGGCCTTGCCGCAGGGGTGTCTGAAAAGGCTTTGCCACTCCAACATGTCCTGCTGAATGTCAATCTTGTTCTTAATTCAAATATGGGTCTGAAAATGGTGGACCCCCACATCCAATGGTGTATCATCGATTTCCCAATGAATATGGCCATTTGGGGGTATACCCCATTTTCAGACAAACCCGTATGAATTCAAGTAGCTGCGATGTACCATGATGTGTTTTGATCACGATGACGATCACAAATACTTTCAAATTGAGGGATGCCTACCATTGTTAACTGCAAGTCAGCTGGGCTCAAAAGCCCTCAACACTGCTCTGCCCCTTGACGAGCATTAGGCTTTGAGAATCTGAGATCCACACCTATCACCAATCTCAAACCAGGAATAGCAAAAGCGTGGACAATTCGGAGTTGTTTCCCGGAGTCAAACTCACACTTTTCTGCCTTCCAAATCCTCTTCAGTGTCAAAGACCAGCATACCTGCTTGTAGCGTTGTAGCGCATGGCTGATCATTCTATTCTTTGGTGGAACACGATGAAGATCAATGACTATGTATTGGATGTTGTCCAGGATGCTGCCCTTGAAGCTCTGGTCTTTAGGCAAGTCATGGATGGCAAAAGTGTGTGTGCAGACTGATGACTGATGGCCCCTGATGGCTCAAGAACGGAATCAGCACGAACCTTCACAAGCATACCCCGTTTTGGGGTCTGCTGTTTGTTCACTTCCTCAATTTGTCCATGATGTCTGCAAAAGGACTTGATTCCTATGCAAAACGCCTTGAACCAACAGTCGACTCAACATGCCCCAGAAATCTGTTGCCACGTTGACCCACGCCTGTCTGCGTGAAATCTGAGCGCCCCTTGAAGCAGCTGTGAGTCAATCGATGGCTCTCAGTACCTAAACGACCAAACGAAGCAAGCACCTGTTGGGGACGGGAATGGGACACCCCAAATTCTCCAAGGGTTGCCAAGGCTTCAGATTTACTATTCTACTATAAATCGGAGAAGCGGCGGGTTTCACCAATCAATTCGGCCAATCCTCACCAAGTCTGAACACTTCATGCGCTCCAAGCTGCAATCATGAGCTCTGAACCACTGCAGGGTTCGCTCGAATTCCTTGAACTCTGCGACACTGTGAAACCTCAACGTGTCAAGTCACCGTCCGCTGGCATTGCAACCTATGACATCAGCAATCTGTCCAATCCCTGTCATCTTTTACCAATATCATGGCAATATATGGCAATATCCACTAAATAAATTCACCAATGATCGTAGTGTTGGTGTGACTTTCGGTCAATGGATGTCAATGGTGCATCTGGGAAACTTATCCCTGAAGCGTCGATCACGGGCTTCAAGCTCTTGCAGGCGTTTGAAAGCCAAGGAAGGCGAGTCCTCCTCGTCTCCTCCGGGCTTCAGCTTTTGCTGGCCATAAATCTGGAGCTGGAGACGCAACATGCCAAAAAGGGAACAAGCTGTGATGGATGCAGAATAGCAACTATCACCAAGTACAACCACAAGTACAACCACCAAGTATAACCACCAAATATGGCCGACTTCTGACGGGTCACTGAAACTGCTGAGGGCTTCATTGAGGTCGTTCCCACGCTGTGGCACTGGCAACATCGGCTGCGCCGACATCGCCGGAGGGCCAGTGGAGGTGCCATCGCAGATTGCGGGGACTCCAAAAACCACACCGCACAGATGGATGGCATGGGTCTCACCTGCGCAAAAGACACTGTCCAAATCTGTCCAATGGGGTTTCCAATGATTCATTGGATATACGGTGATATTATACAATAAGAGGATGAGTGGTACAGTGATGTACAATGATGTGCGCACGGGGGCTGCGGGTCGATACGTGTTTAAGAGGATTTTAAGAGGTGTCTAGTTCAAAGATGTTCAAATTTTGGCAGGACCATACCGATCTGAAATCCACAGGAAGCGCCTGGCGTTTCTGGAAGTTGAGGACACATGCACTCGCCCTCTGGGGTGATGTCGAGCCTGGAGTCACGGGTGGTTGGACTAGGTTGGACTGTCGGCCTATCTGAGCAGCTTCACCATCAATAGCTTTTGTGTGATCTGTACTTACACATGCTATAAGGATCTATAAGGATCTAGAGGCACATAAACTTACGCAGTAGTATGAGCTTGTGCAGGATCCCGCGACAGAAACTTGCATAGCTGCTAAGGTCTGGAACCATTCAAGCAGTTTGAAAAAAACATACCAGATTCCACAAACATTTGAGCTGAGATGACCTGCCAAAAACATGAGCGGTTGTGCAGGTTCTGGGATCAGGATGGCGACAAGTTTCCCTAGAACTGAAGACTGCATGTTGATACTCATATCATCTCATATCTACTTAGAATTCTTAGAATCTACTTCCACTCTCCTGCAACATGCTGACGGTCACCAAACAACACCAGAGCTGAACTACAAAGATCTGCAGAGGAAAATGGTCCTCTCAGCCCCTCGGGCCTCTCCATGATGATTTGGTTGTTGGGTAACCCCCTGGCCACCACCAGAGTGATGCGCTGATCCGGACGGCACCCCACCGGCAACTGAGCAAAGGCTGTGTAGCGGTGGCGTGCAGTCAAAAGTACTGCACCATCCTTGGCGTGTGGTTGCAACCGATAGATAAGGATGCTGGATTTGAGGTCTTCAAGGCAACGAATTCGAGAAGCATTCGGAAAAACATGCAATGAGTGATGCTCAATTAAAATTTGCACATACAAAAGGGACAAACCTAGATCTGTATCTTCACTTACACACACACAGACACACAGACACACAGACACAGAGAGAGAGAGAGAGACACAGACACTGACACTGTAGTCTCCCACCGCTCGAAGACAGTTTGTTGACCATAAAACTAGCACTGGGCCACTGGTTCGCAGGGTATGTTGATTAAACTGTATGAGACATCGACGCTGATGGTTGTCAAGCAGCACTTCATGCTTCGTTCATCCCCATTCATCTCTAAGTTTGGGACAAACATACCATCCATTGAGTTGGTTGAGCGAAGCCTCCAATCGTTGTGGAATCTTCTGTGGATGGCAATTTTCTAGCCTACTTATGCCTACTCAAAAAGCAGAGTGCTTTTTCTGTAGATCACCCGAACTGATCTGCTTCACGGCTGCCAGGTATCTAGCATCACCAGGTGGCCCAGTCTCGAACACGTCGCAACTTGAAAACCATCCAATTCCTCAGCTTCCAACCAAAACAACCGCTGTGATTTGGATTTGGTGATGCCATGTGATGCCTCAGATCCTTTGCAGTGCCTCATTCTGGCGGCGAGAAGGCTTGCCACACCAGCTCCAAAAAACCAAGCTTCATCTGGGCTTCTTTCGGCCTCTGCATCAGTGTCTTGAAGGCCCAAATATGCAAGTTGTTTCCTGCAGCTCTCAAAGCCACAAGAATGAACTGAATGGTGCACCCTGGGACCCGGTGGCTGGACAAACAAATCCGGCTTCATTAATGCCATAACTGCCATAACGACAATCCGAGTAGAAGTCAGCGTTTGAGACCGAACATCACCTGGCAGCTTTCAAATTGAAAAAAAACGTCAAAACACTTCAGAATTGCTCCTCGCCCAAAATCACCGCTGCAGTTGGAAAGCTCAACCGCCACACCCCGTCCTGGCAGCGTGTTGCTTGGGTGGTCGGGCAGCCGCCAGCAGCTGCAGAGGGGTTCCTGGTTTCACGACGAAACGAACCTCAGCTGTCACTGCTGAGGAATCCATGTGATCTTTGAATCCCCTGTCTGGTAAATCCCCTGAAGTTTCTTGTTGTTGTCTACTTCACAAGTCTTGAGGTGTTGGACTGATAGATGTGTTGTTTCGACATGCGAAGGTGGAAGTTTGGGAGGTTGAAAAAACAGTTCATCTAATGATTCTAATTGATTCTAGTGCAACGGTTTCGCAGGGGCTCTGGTTGCCACTTGCCTAAATGGCTAGAAACAAGAAAAAGGGATGATGGCCGGTCATCTCTGAAGCAACCGGTGACACTGGGCGATATTTCTCCATTTGTTCCAAATCGACAACCATCCTCTCACAGTTCCAGTAGCCGAGCTCATGGGCACTGCCAACTCCAGCACTTTCCGGCTGTTCACTGCAAAGCTGTGGCCATCGCCTGACGGAATGGCAACTGAGGCAGCAGCTGATTGGGATGGGCTGTTTAACTCAATTGTTTCAGAAATTGGCCAAAGAGATTGCCACATAGCCTGTTTGTGATAGGTCCAGCCCTTTTCAAAAAAGCGCTAAGGCCGCTAAGGATTTCAGGCCTGCTTGTTTGACTCAGTAGAAGGTAATGGTGAAAATGACCGAGATATCCAAAAGAAGACGGCGGCTCATGCATGTCGACTTGATGGCAACTCCCTTCATCGCTGGCAGAAGTTTTGTTTCACACTGGCATGACTGCATGACCTTTTCTTGTTTTTCCACAACATGCAGAAACTGATGGATTCCCGATGGATTCCCGCGGCTCAATCTCCAAGTCACGGGCTCTGCCCTGGACGTGGCTTTGTCTGGCAAGAATCCTCCCAGTTTCGCCGTCCACCTAGGTGATGAGCAGTTGGGAAAGGTGGCCACGGAAAATGTGATTGAATGATCATGGATGACGTCATGGATGCCATAATTAGGGTAAGGCCAATCGATTTCCTTCGGATTTCCCTCAGTAGTATTGGGTCAGTTTGGATCTCATACAATCGGATGCTTGCAAGAGCATGACTGGGATCACCCAAAGGGGAAGACCTTACCACTATGAAATAGAAGGGGACTTAGCACTATGAAGAACTGAAACATAGGAAAGGATAGGAACGGAATATATAATATGTATTTGCATACCAAGACGGGTTCCTTCATGTCCTACCTGGTATCCCGGGACTTTGAACGTAAATTGTTGTAATTGACCTGCCCGGATCCAGCTGGAGAATCAACTTTGTGTGCTTTGGTCCACGACACTCCTTTTAATGTACCAAGTGGCAGTAAAGCAGAAGACCTCAGCCATGGAGGTACCAAAACTGTGCATGGACATTCAACAATCGAAGTGCATCAAAGCAGATGTTTCGCCCGGGCACACCAGCAAATATTTTGTAACTGGCAATAATGCTAGCTGACCAACATGATCAATCTATCTGTGCCAAAACTGAGACAAAGGCTTGATTTGCAGTGCCAAGGAACATGTATATGGTTGTCGTAGAAACAGACAGACAAGTAGCCTTGGAGCATCTTGGAGCATCCAACCAGGCACGATCGGGCACAATGTGAATCAAAGGCTTAGGTTTGGTCCAGCACACTCTCACTTGCATCGGCCCAGGCCATATGCCGGGTTGACTGCAGAGTCTGCACTAATTGTTTCGGGATTTGTCTGAAGATGTTTGAAGTCTGGGGGGCACTGGTCTGTCTGAAGCACAAAAAATGTTCCTGGCCCTCGAAGTTCAAAAAGAATCAGGGAGTTCCAATGTTGTTGTTTTGCAATTGAAAGTGGGTTGCGTTTTTGAAGCAGTAGTTCCAAGAGTAAATAGACCTGCACAACCAAGTTAGTTAATGTTAAATTGTTTGGGCCTTCTGTGTGCAAGTAGGAAACAGCGTCGGCCTCCAGCTGGCCGGCATGTAGCAGGCAGAGTGCCGATGACCTCATCTTCTTGCTTTGTAGGCAGGAAGGTGCTGGTGTAGAAGCCTTCCAGAAAGACAAAGTTCTCACTTTGGCGAAAACCTCGGATGCCAAGACAGCGCTCCGAATAGGAAACTTGTCGCCTCATGAGAAGCAGAATCGATGAATGATGCCACAGCGCACAGAATTGTCAAGTACATATCATGTGTTCACTGTGTATATATATATATATTATATATATATTATTATATATATATATATTATTATATATATATATGCAGGGATCCTTCTGGTTTCAGGATGACTACCAAAACACAATCTGCACATCCAACTTCATACCAACCATCAAATCAACCAGCGACAGATGCGCTGCTTCTCGATGCTGAAGCTCTGCTGCGCTGCAAATAGCCAGGCCACACCACTGAGCCTCACTGACAGCAACCGTAGCCACACTGTGCACGAGTCCTCCTTTGCACCACACAGCATGGGACCCTTCCAATGCCCTTCCCAAATTAATAGCACCAAGTGCACCAAGCAGCTGTATCCGAACGATGGCACCATCACCTTTGCAAAGGTCATTAGCTCACTGTGAGAATAGTGATGTTGACTGGTTGGGCCGGTTCACTGCTCTCAACAATTACATTGACTCTGACATGTATGTATATTAATATCTGCTCAAAAATCATAGTATGAAATGCACGGAATTAATCGGAATTAGTTTGCAGTTCTATACATATATCACGGAAACATGTAGACGACATGTGAGCGCTTTGCAAATACAAATTGTTTGTAAAGAGACATACACATTCAACAGTCCAAAACGGTTTGTGGAAGGTGCGTAAAAGTAAAGGGACTTCTAGGCCGCCAAGGCTACTAGGGCTGCCAAAATGTATTCCCTCTCAGACCGAATGCATGGCCAGTTCCAGGAGACCAGGCCTTGAATCAGGGTCAACCTCTCTCCTTCAATGTCCAACCTTAACGACGACTGTGGCTGCAAGCCATCATCAGAAATATTCATATATTTTGTGGTTCCACTGTAGCCGAACTCTATCCGGACCCAAGAAGCCAAGGACCGCATAAACATGAACACACCACCCTGGAAAAACGTCCGACAAAACCGTGAGGTAAAGTTGGTTCTCAAAAAATCCACCCCTGAGTCGTCCCTGCAGCGCAGCTCGGTCGTACTTGGGCAGATCCAGTCGTTCTGGACGCTCGGGGGCAGCCAGCACCAGGCTCCGCAGCCCCTGTTGTCACAATCTGTGGTCAACCTAGCGGACCTCTGACCTCAACTGACTTCCAAATTTGGGAAAGTCACTGAAAATTCCAATTACTGTAACCCCAACCGCACCAAGCCAGTGTCATAACACGTGCGTTAATCTAGACATTTGCTATGGATGATCCTTGTGGGTTTGACATATCTTGAAGTCGAGAACGCAAGAACATAGGTTGCAACCTGACACATCATATGGATGTGTGTGTGGAAATGGGAAATACCATGGTGTACCCTCAATTTCTTCATGCGTTTTTAATAGCCAAACTTTAGACCCTAAAGCGTTAATCCCAGAAGCTGTAGGCGCAATACAGCAGGTTTCGTGCGCCCGAGGGTCTACCGAGGGTCTACGACCCGAGCGTACTTTTCTCTTATTAACAACGGAAATGCAAACTGCTGCAAGAGGGTTAATTCATGTTAATTCATGTTAATTCATGTTAATTCATCTTAATTAATGTTAATTAATGTTAACTAATGTTAATTAATTGTAATTAATGTTAATTAATGGTAATTAATGTTAATTAATGTTAATTAATGTTAATTAATGTTAATTAAGCCTTTTGCTTGGGCTTGAAACATACGCTTCACTAGTAAGGCCATGTCAGGCCATAGCCATACCGTCACACGAGGCACACAAAGGTTTAGCACGACACTTTTACGCATATAAGAAAGAACGTCATGTCCCCAAATCGTAAGCCGTTTTGGCCTCTGTCGGCGGTGTTTATTTTACGTTGCCGGGGGCTCAAACTTGAGTTTACGGTTTGGAAATTGTGGATTTTAGTCCTGGCATAGTTCAATCTGCTGTATTTGTTGGAACCCACAAAAATACACTTTTGACCCTTTTTGCTTGCTCCGCGGTGGTACGTTCTTCTTGGGGGCAGGTTTACGGCTTCATTTTGAAATCGGTGAATTTCAGCCTCAAGAATGCCTTTGCCCAAAAATGCCTAAAAATGTCAAATGTTGCATATTGCTTTTACACCACAAACGGCCAACATGCCAAGAATTACCAAAGATCGCCAAAAGGTTGCAAGAAGCAAACAGGTACAGGCGAGCCGAAGAGCACAAGAGCTGAAGAGCTGCTTGAAGAAAAAGTCGTCCTGACAGAAAGCCAATGGAAAGATGCCGGGAAAGGCAAACGCAGCAGCAAAGGCAAGAAGACGGACATGGCACAGAAGCAAGAATGTGTCAAAAAAGCCGCCTGGGAAAACCGATTGCTGAAATGGTTTCTTCGCCCTTATGTAGAGCAAACCGGCAGCCCATTTAATGGGGCCGTGGGGTCACCGAGGGCATTCTGCTAACTTCTTAGCATTTGGGCAATGTTTTGGACGAAATATGTTCAGCGTGTTGCTCTGGCCAAGGGAGTGCGCTCTCACGCGGCCGATTGTGAAATTAGGGCTTTCACGCTGAAGTACCATTTTCAGGACTTAGAGCCGTCAGAGGGATTGTGCAAGGCAGGTGTCAGCAGCTGGTGGAACTGTTCACCACCACAGAAGGCAAGAAAGATTTGGAAGAATGTCAGCAACACCGGCCAACGCCGGTGTAGAGAGGTCCGAAGCCCCAACGACAAACGCAGTGAAGAGCTATGTCCGGACAACGGGGCCGCCAACAAAGACTTCTACTACCATGCATCTCGTGGAAGGGTACTGCAAGGATGTGAGACGCTTGGGCGCCTGGCTTAAATGAACTTTGTCTGGCAAGTTCAAGAATATGTTGGCTTTGGTGATCTGAAGCTAGATCATCCGACGCATGGCGCGAATAAATTCGTTAGTATTGTATGTCAAACTTTGTCTCGGTCTTCCTACTCTCCTTTTACCAAGGTTGAAACTGCTGCTGTCCCCGGTTCGTGCGCCGCTTGCCTTAAAGGATTCCCAAGATATATACGTCCTGCTAAACGAACTCGCTTCTCATCCAATATTTCTGAAAAAAGGTGTAACACGCTTGGTTGGTTTGTTGGGAAACGCCACTTGTGAAGCGAGTTCATAAACACGCGCATGTGTGTACCTCCTGTCAACGAATGTTGTGGGTACTTGAAGAATTGTCCTCAAGCCCTTTAGATGGCGATGGAAAATATCGAGTTTTTTCTGTCTTGACTGAGCAAATGCAATGATGAGGGGCTGCGTTAAAGAGTATCTACAGCCGCCCCGTCAACCGCACACGCCACGACCGGTCAACACCATAAACCCTAAACCCATCTAAGCCCTAAACCAAATCAAACAAAAATGCCAAATTTCATAAGGAAAATATGGGAAAATTATCTTTGTATATATAGTGGATCCAGCGGTACCAGTACATCCAGGCACCATGGTTTCCTGGAACACCCACCAGGCCTCGGGTGGCATGGGGCCCTCCAGCAGACCCAGGCGCCAGGTGCCGGGGCGGACAGCTGAATTGCTACTCACACCGCCCTGGATGTGGAAACCAGCTGGAAAGACCTACAACAATGCCCTTTTTATTTATCTTATGTCCTATGTTGCGTGTAATTTGATGCAATCAGGATTTTTTTTAGATGTTGATATATTTTGATGTATTCTGATATATTTTGTATTTATGTGTTAGATACAGCCTTGGCCTCGGGAACCACGGCCTTGCTTTGGAATAGGCTACCTATTAAGTTTGACTATACTTACTATTAACTTCAATCAAGCTCCGGTCTGCAGTATTGGGGAGGGTGACAGGAGCGTAAGGGTCTGTCAAACTGCATGCCATCTGCGCCGAGTGTGTGTTGGTCAGCGTGATTTAGGTACTCTCCATGCGTTTGCTCCCGTGCAACTGCCTGAAGAACTGCACCAAAGTCCGATATGATCAGCTCCGGAGCACGGCCTTCCCATAAGACCTGCCAATTGGTCAGGTGGTTTTGGATTGGTCTTGATTTGATAGGAGGGAGATTATGGACAAACCGAAAGGATGCGCATGCGATAAGAAACAAACTCGTATCCCTGGCTGCATGGCAGCTGATCAAACCAAGCCCGCAATCTCATCGCATTGTGTGACCAATTAAATTCACTTGCTGGCTTCACTTGATCCTAGCCATTATGTACTAAAAATATCCAGAGATATCTAACGAATCTACACAATCACAATCAATCACACAAAAAGCCATTTGTGGATTCACTTCCGCACATGGAGAAATCGGTCCAATGCCAATGTCCTGGCCTGGGGCTCTGTCCATGGTGTGCACAAACGCACCTTTCGAATCTCCATGGCTCAGAAAAAGCAGTCGATGGTCATTTTGAAAAGTTGCTGAATACTCATAGTGATGATAGTGATGATAGTGATGAGAGGATTGTTGACACGTCTATATTCTTGATAGTATGTGGGACTGATGATATCTACATGTTGCAACCCGATGCATGACTGTGCTGAGCATTGATAGAAAGCCTTACTTTCCCACAAGTGAAGATAGTGAAGGGCTTCGCGGCACGATGTGGAGTTGAACCCATGTCACGTTGATGAAAAGTCAGTTGGGAACTCCGAAATTCACCTCATTGAATACCTACGGGCCTTCTGGCCTTGGTTTGAGCCGGAGTTGTACCGATCCGAGAGGCAAGAAGACTCACAGAAGAATGAGCTCAATATGACTAATATGTATATGAGATATGGGTCGGCTTGAAAAGTGGGAACTTGTGCCCATTGTTGCAAGTTACTACAGTGTCTTTGCATGATGGGTGTACTGCACACGTGAAAGGCATCATAATGAACACGTGAAAACATGGTACCCTGAACTCTGAACTCCTAAACCATGTTCTGTTTCATCGTTTCATCGAATTCATGAAAACTATCGCATTACACCATATTACACTTAGTCGTAGGTAGGCCGAGTGCAAACACATGGCCCGACCCCGTCCCAGCACCTGGAACACCCCGGCCCGGCGATGGAAGAGGATGGGATGACCTAAAGCTTGGGGGAGCTGAAATTTGCGCGTGAAATATCGTGAAATATCGTGAAATGTTGTTAATATGGTGTAATAGTTTTGCCAGTCAGGATTGTCATTAGCCAATCCCATCAGCGGCTGCCTGGATCCCGAAAATACTTTTCCCATGCCCGTTCCAGTTCAAGGAGCCAAAAGTCAACACCTTTCTCGCTGGTGTCTGGTCGTTTGGACTTGCCCACTTTGGACCTGTGGACAAGGAAATCCACATTGGAAAGTTGCTGCAGTAATGTGGGCCCAAAGAACTAGATCAAGATGGTGGTGAATGGCAAAGCGTTAGTAGTTGCAAGTGAACATGTGGCGCAAATGTCAGGAAATTTATGAGGGATGAGAAATAAGACTTCTGCCGAGTAGGCAAGCAGGCTTCTCTGAGGATTTGCGTAATGCCCTTGAATGTCAATGAACCTGCAAATAAACCCCGCAATGAGGAAATCCCCTGCCAATCTGCATTCGCCGTCCCAACTCCGCCGCGCCGCAACATGAACATCATGGAGCCATTTTGGTCTGCCACATCCCCTTCCCCAATTCGGCAAAAGCACCCACCTTTCTTTGACGACATCGAAACAGCTAGGGTGAGCAATGAGGGCCTTGGTTGAGTAGCGCTTGTTCGTCATTCCAAACCACTTGCTGCAGGGACCTACGAAGCCCATGTTCACAATGCTGAGTTGACAATTTTGAAATGATGTGTATGCCGTGCATATACACATACAAAATCATACAAATGTATATGTTCCATTTCTTGTTTGCAGTTTCAAGCGCGACTGCTGAGCAGACCAGCAATGCAACTCTTTTATGTCAGTCCTTCATGTTCCTTGTCCATCTAGTTTCTTCCAAGAAATTTTCTCAACAGTAAGTCAAAGTGCATGCTTGGATATTGGATTCAAGATGAGGGAGCTGGAATATCTACTGTGACCTCGGCCCACTGGTTCCAAGACAATCTGAAATTGTCAAGGGCACTCAGAGCTCATTCTGACACCTTGGTTTCCCCACCGTATTCGCTCCACTGGCCGTTGTTGGATGTCCTGGACAGAGGACCCAGCAGACCCAGCAGACCCAGCAGGGGAGATATGCCTCCTGGTTGCTGCTTTGCTGGTCTTAGGGAAACTTCTCTACGGGCTGTCAGCCACACAAGCAAAGGCCCTGTCAGCTACTGTAAGCGTCCTTTCTAGTGAAATCTAAAGTGAATCACACTGATTCTGAGCAAATGGAATAATGCCTGAGCACGAAAGCCTCATTCCAGGTCCCAGAACTTTGACATATTTTGACCGAAACATCATGACACATCTTTGGAGAGTTGTTCAAACGTCGCACCTGACAAGCGTCTGGCCGTTCCAAAACTTCCTATCCAGAAGGATGTTGGATGACGGCTTCTGACATTGCCAGCACTCTGTGAAATCACGATGAAACCAAGATGAGACCTCGCCAGAAAACCTTGAGCCTTGGGAAACTACTCCTCAAAATCCTGTTTGTCCGGAGGTCAAATCAGGTCAAACTCGATACCCAAAGAAACAACAAGTGAACTGATTGCTATCCACTCAAGAATCACCTGTGAACCTGTAGAGCAGCACAGCGAGTCTACTGGATTTGGGATGGGATGCCCCTCTTGAAACAGCTTCCGGTGCTCTTCTCACCTTTGCAGAAAAAAACATCTGAAAGAACTTATGAATCCTTAGACAAAGGACCTCACTTGGTTGGCCCATACAACTCCCGACTTTACCCAGCGGAACTTTGTGGGACTTCCCCTTATTGCTGACCTGGACCGCTGCCAGCGTTGCTGGCATTGGCTCTCCTCCTGGCAGCTGAGTTGTAGCCGTGGACCAAAAAAGAACGGTTATCGTCTGACTGTCAAGCAAAACAGAAACAGTGGACAGCATGTGGCACAGCATGTGGCACACCCATAATCGCCATACTCCCGGTCATGTCACAAGGCAGTCTCACCTCACCCATCCTTTGTTTTTCAGTTTTTCATGAACTTTGGACGTATGGATGCGTACCAACATTCCGTGCCCAAGTTTCGAACCAGATTTCGGTCTGCCGCGGTGGGATATGCTGCACGCATCTGAGCGAGAGATCCCGTAGATGGCCTCATGTCTAGTTTCTTTCGCGGTGATGAAGCGCCGGCCTCTTCACAAGCAGGACGTAAAGGAACTGGCAGTTGGGTGAGTTGGGTGGTACAAATTTCCGTTCTCACAGCTGTTCATGATTTTGTTGGAAAGAATACAAAAACATCCAAAAACATCCAAAAAACTAGGGTCTGAATTCTGAATCCCTGCGACTGCTTCAAAGGTGAGCCTTCTCTGGTGGCACAACAATGAGGGTAATGAGGATCTGCGGCTCCTCGGTGTCCTCTTCCTGTCGTAGCGCAAATGAGCTCTTCACTGTACTGGTAGACTGGTAGTACTTGTTTTCCAAAAGTCAACTTGGTGCAAATTAGTTTCAGCTGAATGCAGCAGCTAGTTCAAGAAACCCGTTTTTCAATGTACAAACCAACAAAATCCAACAAATACCTATTCCTCAAGAGGACACGTCAAGAAGTGGTGAAGAGGTAGAGCTCCAGCAACCATCGTCAATCGTCCCGCCGGGTGGGTAATTGAACGTGGCGGCGTTGCCTTTTGGATGTTTGTGGATTCTGTGTGTTTTGCAATGGATTTCATGTGATGTTCGTCTCATTTCCATTGGTTTTATTGTTTTTCTGTGCGCAGGCCATCAATTTTTGACATTTCATCCCCAGAAAAGTACTCTATTTTTTGGGGGTCATTCCACAAAGTGACAGTGGGGCCATAGTTTTTGCACATGAAAGTGGTTATTTTTCTGCGGAGCTGGTGACATCAATTTGGTCACATCTGTGCCAAGGTCTTGCCAGTCAGAGACATGAGGAAATCTCTGTGCTTCAGAGATTCCCAGCGCCATTGGGTTGCTAACGTAGTTGGAAGTTGATAGAGAAGATAACAACGTACTTGGAAGATGTCTTACACGGGATGCTAACGTAGTTGGAAGTTGATAAAGAAGATAACAACGTACTTGGAAGATGTCTTACAAGGGATGCTAACGTAGTTGGAAGATGATAGAGAAGATAACAACGTGCTTGGAAGATGTCTTACAAGAGATGCTAACGTAGTTGGAAGTTGATAGAGAAAATAACAACGTACTTGGAAGATGTCTTACAAGGGATGTTAGCGTAGTTGGAAGTTGATAGAGAAGATAACAACATAGTGGAAAGATAGGTAAGCCCCTCATCTGTGACACCAAATCCCCCTCATCTGTGACACCAAAACCCCCCTGATTTTCCCTCATCTGCGACACCATTTTCCCCTCATCTGCGACACCATCTGGTTTTAGGGTGGGTGGGGTGGGGTGGTGGGGTGGGAGGTGGGGTGGGGTGGGATGATAACGTCCATGTTCCTGTGCGCACACAGGCACGGCAACCTCATCACACGAGAGCTGGCGGTGTCTCTGTCCCTCTCTCTCCCTGGTGGTCCGTTTTGGCCGCTCAGCAGCCCAAATCCTCCAAAACGGACCTCGCCACCTTGGTCTGCTTGGCTGCGCCCCTTGCCCTCCCTCTGCTGGTCCGTTTTGGGCGCTCAGCAGCCCGAATCCTTCAAAACGGACCTACCCAGCTCTTCCACTGGGAGGGGGTGGGGTGGGGTGGGGTGGGGTGGGATGATAACGTCCATGTTCCTGTGCGCACACAGGCACGGCAACCTCATCACACGAGAGCTGGCGGTGTCTCTGTCCCTCTCTCTCCCTGGTGGTCCGTTTTGGGCGCTCAGCAGCCCAAATCCTCCAAAACGGACATTGCCAGCTGCGTCTGCTTGGCTGTGCTCCTTGCTCTCCCTGGTGGTCCGTTTTGGCCGCTCAGCAGCCCAAACGGCGCCGTCCGCCTCGTTTGTTTTTCGAACGTGCGCTTTGGCGCGAAAAACGTGCGCATTGGTGCGAAAACGTGCGCTTTGTAATGCAAACGACGACGTTTCTACAAAGCGCGCCGCCATGTATATGGAACATGCCGTTTGCAGCAAATGGTGTCCAAAGCGCGACGTTGGATCCTCTAGGTGAGCGGCCCAAATCCTCCAAAACGGACATCGCCAGCTTCGTCTGCTTGGCTGTGCTCCTTGCTCTCCCTCTGGTCCGTTTTGGCCGCTCAGCAGCCCAAATCCTCCAAAACGGACCTTGCCAGCTTGGTCTGCTTGGCTGTGCTCCTTGCTCTCCCTCTAGTGGTCCGTTTTGGCCGCTCAGCAGCCCAAATCCTCCAAAACGGACCTCGCCAGCTTGGTCTGCTTGGCTGTGCTCCTTGCTC